CATTCTTTTATCATCATCATTATTATTATTATTTTCCCTTCCTTTTCTGTCTTATCTTTATCTCAACCCACAAATTTTACTTTTTTTTCCCCCCAATTCTCTCCCTCATCCCACCAGGGCAAGGGGGACGACTGAGCAAACGGCTGTGTGTTGTTCAGCTGCCTGCCGGGTTAAACCACAACAGGCTCTCAGATACAAAGCAGGACCTATGAGTGCTCTGGGTGCCTCTGGAGAAGGAGATGGAGGCCAGGGCTGATGTCCTGAAGTGCTTCAATGGCACTAGATGACTGTGTGTGGGCCACTGAATCCCACCGTAGCGGCACAATTCAGCTTCCTAAGCACTATGACTCAAAGCCATTTGGGATGTCTAGGAGAGGGGGCTGGCAGATACCATGCAGAACACACAAAAAAGCCCTCACTTTCTGAAGTGGCAGCTGAAGGCCAGGCAGAATACCCTAAAACATCTCAAAAGGCACCAGGAACCCATGTAGAGACAACCGTATCACACCTTAAATATCTGACTCAGGAAAATCTTACCTGAGCAGCTCAAAGCTGTTAGGGATTCAGAAACATACTGGGCAATACCGTACAGGAAGATAACAATTCTTTGTGGATTGTTATCACAGCTTGTAAAAGAAAATTAGTTCCAGTCCAAGCTGTGGAGATGGCCCTGGATATCCATAAACAGAACTGATTTAACATCACAGGAACGCACTCTCTGTACCTTCAAGACACAAGCTGGCAACAGATTTGACTTCTGGAGAAACCATGCAGGTATATGTGTCCTGATCTTCAGGTTTAAATGCATGAATAATGAGTATCTGCTTTTTTCCATCAGAGAGGATCTCATATCTCCCTCCAGCTTGTATTTGTTCTTTTCCTTTGAACCATGTCACTCTCTCTTTGGTTTCACTTGATAATTTGCACTCCAAGCGTGCCACCTCCCCTTCTGAGACTGATCCTCCCACCAAAGGATGGGTGACTGTAACTGGAGGCTCTGTAATTAGAAAAAAAGTGAATTAACACAAAGAACATATCATAATCTGGCTTTAAGGCACTTGAGATCACTCTATAAAATATCCAAGCATCCCATCCTCCATTTATAGATTCTTTAGCTGTTGTAGACAACCAAAGGAAAAAAAAAATGACTGGAAGCAATCAAATTTGCACTTCCAAAGATAGCATCAAAATAACTCTACAAGCTCTCCCAGCAGTTAAACAAGCTCCATTTAAATATATACATGCAAAAGTGGTTGCATTTTTCACATTCTTGTGCTTGTTTGCTGATCTTCATTTACCCATCACCAGTATTCAAGCAGTCCTACAGATTTTAGAAGATCTTAAAGTTCAGAAGTGAAGCGGTTCTGAAGTGAGTGAAGAAAGAACAAAAGAAATAAAAAGAACAAAAAAGAAGAGAGATCATTAAAAGTGGCATTCATCCCAGTCTTGAAAGTTAAAAAAAAAAAAAAAAAAAAAGCTAGTTTAGGAAGAATAAAATGTTTCATGAAGCATAAAGAATTTAAAAATAAAAATTCTCTGTATCTTCTTTACTTTGGAAGGAGGCCTGCCAACGGCACGCTGTTTGTACGACAGTGATACTCAAAATGAAGTCAAGACAAATGCATTAAACACGGAGATGTTGACTGGGACGCAAAGCACACAGCTGAGTTCCCAAAAGCAGCACGCTCCTGAGTGTGATCTACCCCTCTGCACATTTCACTGGGGTGAGGGGACCACTGCCCAAAATGCCTTGGGTTTGTTGTAGACAAAGTCGGCATACGCAGAGTTATCAGGGTCCAGCACTAGCAGTTGTTATGTTGCAAAACCATCATTGCATGTCTGAGCCTTAAGGAAAAGAGGAATTTTTTATTATTATTCTCACTTCGAGGAATTTGTTGGGCACTTGGCTATCACAGAAAGAGTTGCAAGAAAAGAAAGATTGAGGGAGTAGCTCTCCATCCCTCTGTGGCTTCCAAAGTTTCACCAACAGACAGCAAAGGAACTGTGTCCTCCAGCATTTCTTTGTGGGGGTTATTGAAAAAGATACACAAATAATGTAACAAAAGAGAAAGATGGGTGAAGAAGACAACACTGCCCACCCACTGCATTGGTACCGGGGTCTTGGTTACCCCGAATGCATTCCAACATGCCCCTTTTGACTCATTCCATCCTAACTCCACCAGAAAAGAAACTCATGTTGGCCAGACAACACATGGATGCAGTGCAGGCTGCAAGACAGCTTGATGCAGTTCGGAGAAAATAAGTGTTGAGTACTAACAACACAGCAGGTTTTGTTTGCAGCAGCCCAGAACAATTTTTCCAAGCTCTTTCTCCTCTATTGTGTTGGCAGCAAAGCACTGAAAGACGTTCCAGGAGATGCCTGGAACGGGTGAAGCAGGCATGCCATGCGAAACACAAGGTCTGCAGCAGCTTGCAGTCCTCCGTGGGGGCATCTCTCCTTTCTCACCTAGCCGCACCATCTGAGGGAAGTGCACCGGCTCGCTGGCCCCAACTTTGTTTATAGCTGAGACGCGGAATCTGTAGGGTTCACCCGGAGTGAGATTGTCCACCATAAACTCTGTGTTTTGAATAATGCCCTTGCTGCATGACTGCCAGCCAATACCTGGGATTTTCCTCTCAACGTTGTAGCCTAGGATGTCACAACCGCCGTCACTCAACGGCTTGTACCAAGACAGAGTTACAGAGTGGCTGTTCTTACTTAAAACTTCTGGTTCTTCAGGTGGATCGGGGTGGGCTGAAGGCACAACAGAGGTCCCGTGATGTATGACATGAGCAATAATGCTTTATAATAAAACAACCAAGAGCATTCTACAAGCAATGAGAAGGAAGCACAACAGATTCAATGTTTGTCTTATTGTAAAGCTGAGTGGGTACATGCCCGTGACCGTGAGACGTACCTGCGGACCACTGAGTTTTCCTTTGTCTGCCCTGATCTACACTGCTAATGACAAACATTCATTTTCCAACTGTCATCTCACACACTTAACGTCACATATTGTTGTGATTTTTTCCCGTTGCTTTGTCCCACCCAGCTCAAAATAAAGATGACCCTACGCTGTCCGTATTATCAAGGAACTTAGCTGAAAACTTCAAGTACATTTGGGCCTTGATCATATTTCTTTCAGGTCTGGCCTTAATGGAAATCAAGTTATTATTGGACTACAGAGTAACCCTAGTAATTTAATAGCAAGTCACTCAATTTCTCTGTAATTGCTATATATGTCACAGCATCAGGCAGTAACAAATAAATACATAATGGGAATGGTCTGGTGTCCTACCAGCTTGGCTACTGACGATCATACTCAGTACATTGGAAAATGTTCCTCACTTTGGCTTAGAATACAGAAATAATTCTTTTAGTCTTCAAGTTCAAGGCATTTACCAAGTAAATGATCTGCCACGATGTACCAATCCAACAAATTAAAGGCAAATAAGGTCAACTGCCAGTTCGTTAATTCTGGACACCACAAACATAACATGAAAGCCTCTTTTCTCTATTCTCAGCCAAATTTCATACAGAAAACCTGTCAACAGGAGGAGTTAATGAGGATAGTATTTTGCAGTTCCTAAAATGTAGGTGCCCAAAATAAGATAACGCTGTTTTAAATCCATCAACAACCAATTTTTTTTGCGGAAACCACTGGAACATATCCGAGATCTCTCAAGTCCCAGAAATCATTAGATAGACAGACTACCTGTAATAATTTAAAGAACGGATGGTCAATCAGTGGCTCTTGAACATCTCAACTACAGTGTGCAGATAAAACACATTGCAATTATCTCATAACCATCACTGGGGTTGTGCTGGCATGACCATTGCTGGGTGACCCACCTATCCCACTGTGGGAAGGAGCCAGACCTCGGGTGCTGGAATGGACATTGATGAATCATTGGTCTAACCCGCCCTACGAGGGAATTAGGGAACTATCATCTTTTCTACTTGTGAAGTACTCCAAGAGCTACTAACTCTTGTGTCTCTGAAGTACAAAGGTGCGTGTTTCACGGATCTCACCTACATGAAGGTTTTAATACGCAACTCATTAATCTGGAAAACTGGTTGCCCTGCACTTGAGTAGATTAGCAGATTTCAAAGGGTTCTCTGCTGCCTTGGATAATTTTTCCATGTGCACTCTAGTTCAGCTCCCTCCCATGTCCACGTTTGTTGAGGGTGATGTTGAACTCTGAGTAAATTATTTTCATTAGACTCTATGTTACATTTTACAAAAGACTGCAGGTAAAGAAAGCTGGTGAATATCTCTACCATCACTAGCCTGATACAAATTTTCTTCTGATGAGGTGGACTATTTCTGGTCAAAGAACAAGTTGCCCAGTAGCATCTTCTGAGACTAAGAACACTAGCTTGGGACATGCAAGGCAAAGAGAAAAGAATCAGTACAAAGATTAGAAAAATCAGTGTTGTTGCTCAGTACCGAAGTCTGAGATTTCAAGCGCCACTGGGCTAGAATGACAGACACTTACCTATCACTGATAGCTTGGCTGATGTAATTGCTTCCCTGGAAGCAAAGGTCACCTCTCCAGAATGATGCGGTTGGGCTTTTTTCAGAATAAGTTTGTATTTGTTTCCATCTGCCTGTACCTCCCAGTCCTCATCCGACTGGATCTCTATGTCATTACTATACCAGGCAACTTCAGCAATTGGCACAGCTTCACTTAGAACGCAGGTAAACGTAGCTTTCTCCCCCGGAGAGACTTCCACATCTGTGAGAGGCTGCAAGATCTGTAGGCGCCATCCTGTAGATAAAAATAGGTAATCAAGCCCTCAGTTACAGAAACAAATACAAGCAAGAGATTTTGTGAATATTTATGCTGAAGCTCTGGACAGTCAGGCCTTGGAGACCAAGGAGATCATTAAAAGGGAGGTTATGTATATCACTAGAACAGAAGGTATCATTGGGGACTGAAACTTTCCAAAACTTTCAGGAGCAAAAACCAACTTAGCAATGTCTGTCTTTCCCAAGTAGCAGAAAACCACAAATGAGATACCACGCTATGACTGAGGATGGCTGTTCTTGTACTCTGAAAGGGGTTCTGACTCCCACAGGGGCCTCCAGGAATAGCCTAAAACGCAAGGATGCAGAGATAATATTGTTGCTGATATAACTCTCATCTCTAAAGCCCTGAAGTACCTATGAACACAACCCAACTCATCAGAATAACGACAACTGTAAGACAGTCATTTGCTGCTAACTCATTGCCAACTGATGCTGCTTATATCCGTGTCATGACACACAGAAAAAAAGGAAATTGTAAAATATCATCCATTTATTGTGTGGGAGGAAGATTTAGGTAAGAAGCAAGCAACAAATGCAACTTTTCCTCTCAGCTACTCATCATATTTTCCTGGTTCATTTGCCCTTTCCAACCAGAAATTTAAGACTCCCCATGCACGAGTGCTTCAGTTACCTTTCACCGTCAGGAAGGCTGAGGTCACTGCATCGCTGCACATAAAAGTCACCCTGCAGCTGTCCCGGGGAGTTAGGTTCTTCAGCAGCAGAAGATGCCTGCGTCCATTTTCAAAGTAAACCATCTCAGTGTTTTCTGTAGTTTTGGCAGGTTCATCGTCAATCAGCCAGTTGTAATTGCAGCACTCGGGCTTGGAAAGATAGCATTCAAACAGGGCTTCTCCTCCTTCCACGGCTTCCACATTCTCCAAGCCCTGGACAATGCTGTTCTTGGCTAGCAAAGAAGGACAACAAACAGTATTAATTGTTCGGCCATGCATATCTGAATATTAACAAGCCTCGGAGCACTGGATGATTCCCACTGCTGGACAGCTGATGGAAAGGATGTGGATGTGATAAACTGTGCTTGTAGGTTTAGTTGTTGATTTCAACCACGCTCTAACACCATACTATATTTAAAAACGTTTTAAATAGTGAGATAGTTTAAAAATAATGATAAACCTCTAGGACCTCTCGCATTTCATCTAGACTTCCTCCAGAAACCCGACTTCTGTTTTTACAAATAAAGAAAAAAAAAATGTTGGTGTTTATATGCATCAGGCCAATAGTCGATAGGAAGGGATAGCTCAGGAAGGTAAAGTATAATCAAATTCCTTCTCTCCCACAGCAGGAAACATTTCCCACAGATCTCCCAGGCAGCACAACTATCATCATAACTGGGGAGACGCGAATCCACTGACAGGTCCTGATAAAATCTTACTACCTTTCGTGCAAAGCACATATGAGAGAATATTATAGCTGGCAAAGCTATAGCGACTGTTGTCTGAGTTAACAAATACGCCTCTAGGAAACACACAAAAAGTTAAAAATCTGTATTAACAGTATTTTGGATAGTAAATTTCTGAATTATTGCAAAAGCTCTGCGATAACGCATCAGGTTTATTTTCTCATGCGTGTGTGGCGAATTGTGTGGTCAGAAACATGCACATATCTACACACGCCATCTGCCCGCAGAGTCATGCATCAGTTGGCACTTGTACATAAGCAATTAGCCTGACGCAGAATTAAATGTGGGCTGGTGCCTGTGCATATAATTTGTGTGAGACCAGCCACATGGACAAATTACATGCACAACAGTGGGAACACACAGTTAAGTAAATACACTTTACACAAATACCATACAATGGTCAGCGTGATCTATAATAAAAACCAATGCTCTGAGATATTCCTGTTTCAATCTCTATAACCACTATCTGGAACTGTTCTAAGCAAAAAAAAAAAAAAAAAAAAAAAGGCAAAAAAAAATCTGAACAATTTATTTAATAGCACAAAAAAAAAAAAAGAAAACATGAGTTACTAAAAAAATTCTGTATTTTATAATATTCATGTTTATGGAGAACAATGAGGGGTTTGTAAATCCTTGGAGAATGTATAATTTTGTTAGAACAAATCTGAGCTGTTTATCTGTGCACTTTTGGAGTGTGGTTTCCCTAACTACAAAAAGCAGCCAATTGCAAATCCTACCTCCTCTGGGATGCTTTTAGATTACGTTCATTAACATCTTTTTAAATTCCTAAAATGGAAAATGCTTATCAATGTAGAAAATATTGTAAGAAATAATACCCTGCTCTTCTGCACTCACAACTCTGGTTAAGGAAGAAGGCGTAATTGCCTAACAAAACACAGATATTCAGAAATCAAATCAGAATCATTGCTCTTGCTGACCGCGCTAATTCACCTGGTGACCAAAAACAATAATGCCCTACCCAGCAGAAAAAAAATAAGAAACATCAATATAAATTCCTAAGCCTATTGTTAATATTTTTATTTACTGTTTCTCAGGGCCCTCACAAATGCTGATGCCAAGTGAGAAGGTAATTCCTGAGTGATCAGTATTTGAAATAAGTAAAATACCAAGCTATCTTAGCTTAGCTGAAAATAAAATGAAATGCCACACTATCCATTAGCTACTGGTTTTAAGGCACACTGTGTGTAAAAAGCATTCTGTAACAGCAAAAAGTACTCTTATTATTCCTTTGGACCAACATTACAGCTGTGATTTTACAATAATTCAGCAGGACACATCCCATTGCACTGCTGTTCCAGTTCGTTGTCGAAGAGGTATGATGCGTAAGTGGTGTAATAAGTGAGCGTTAATTAGAACTAAGCTCCAGTGAAATGCTGCAGTTTCATATTCAAATCCCATTAACTCCCAACTACTTTTATCATCGTTATCAGTACTGGAGTGAACACCAAAGAGCGGGTATCTGATGTGTCACATTGTGAGGTGCTGCCATGATTTTTCCACCTCTTATTTGGAAGCCATGATAGTCTTCCTCTTTGGCTGGAAGACCTCACCTTGGACATCAAGTGCAGCCATCACTTTAGTGCCTTCAGCTTCACAAGAATAGATGCCAGTGTCTTCTGGTACCGTAGGTTTAATTTTTAGCATGCTTACATTCCAGTCCTGATTGATAATCACTCGATGCCCATCTGCATGTATTTCCTGATCATTTTTCTTCCATATGGCGTGTACTGGCCTAGAATATTGGCATATGAACTCTGCTGTGCCATCTTCATCAACAGTTATATCCTGCATGGGACTGACCACTTCAATGGTTGGATCTGTTAACCAACACGTCAGGAAGGACATGCATTAGTGGATCCTCATGGAAATCGCAATTTAGAGATTTTTTTGACAAGCACGGAGCCTGTGGGGAGCAAGCAGAGTGACAGTGCAAGCAGAAAGCTGACTGGGCACACTGGGGATTAGCAGTTTAGTCTGTGCTTGTGTCAGCATCAAGCAGGATTGAAGCAAAACTGGTACATTAGAATATAACTATCACACTGGAAAAGGGGCCACCAGCAATTAAGGCTTGTGCTTTAACAGTCCTGAATGTGAACTTCTCTGCTGGGATTCTCCCAGCATCGCTAGGAAGACCATCTTCTGGTTTTTCTCCCAGCATTGCTAGGAAGACTAGGAAGGACTGGATGCGAAACACTTCTGCTTCCCAGAATGTGGCAGGAGCGCAGGTGTGAGACAGAGGACTGCAATGGATGGGCTGCTCTGAGTGGTTCCCTGTAACTCTCAGCCTCACATAGCGATAGGAAAATGCCACAAACTCTACTGGAGGCTCCTTGCATGAGCAAACTGCAAACACTCATTGGAAAGAAACGTAATACTCAAATGCAAATACTCATTCCTGCGCTGTGGTGGTAATGGCTATATGTCAGGAGTCACTGGCAGCATGAGGAGCAAAGATCCAGGACGACTGTAACAAAAAAGGGCACTTCACAGGAGACATATACTTGTTGTTTTGATTAACCATGTGTTCCTCTGCAGTAGAGACATATTTTGGGGAAAAATGGTATGATTTCCTTTACAGTAGCCGATCTAGAGATGCAGCATGAACCATTGCAGTCTCAGGTTGAGCGCCCATAAAATGCTGAGAGCAGCTGGATATGCAGCTCCTCTGAAGAAGGTGAGATCCATGAAACTGCTTTTAAGCATCCAGTCTTTCTTTTAAAATACTAATTCGGCTTCTTGGGAGGCAGCTGTAGGGCACAGTAGATATATCTAACCTCAAAATATTGTGAAGTTCCAAAGCAGCCAAGGAGTCCCTCCTGAGATGTCAAATTGGACCACCCGCATACAACTGCAATATATATGCTAAAAATAAAAATCTCAATAAAGTCTGAAAATGGAATTCTCTCTGCAACATCCTTCTCAGCGGAACTATGTCAATTCCCCCTAAAAATTGATAGGGCTACAATGGGACATAAAAAGGTGACCGTCAGAGAAAGCGGATATATGTTCTTAGCTTTCAAATAGTTGTTCTGATCAGAAGCCAGTTAGAATAAACTACACTGGACCTCTGTCTGGAATGCTCCTCTTGAAACTGGTGCATCAGGTCGAGGATTTGGGATGCTACTAGCAGATCTTGGCAAGCAAAGATAGTTTTGCAAATGTCTTTTGGAAACTTGTTGCAAGGCTTGATCCTGCTCTCTAAGGCTCCCTCTACCACTCCGTGTCTGCATGTGTGTTTATGGAGAGGAGGCATCAATGGCAGATCACGGAGATGTTTTGGTTACACCAGGACTGAAGAAGCAAGAAGGTATCTGTGCAGCTGGGGAGTACAATACCATCTCATAAGATGTAGACATGTGCTCCTCACAGCAAATGTCACCTGTGGTCTTGGAGAAGGAAGGTGTCCTGGTTCCCCTGCCCCATTGCTCTTTGCCACTGTTAGGCAAAGACTCTGGTGGCCCTATTCACCCATGCAGAACGGCAAGAAAGCTCCTTGGGACTTAGGACCCAACGTGTACATTGGGGCCTGTAATTCTCACCCTGCCCAAAGGGGTCAGAAGAAGGCGGCAGCTCCTTCAACCTTTTCCATTTTCCCCCCCACCCACACGTGAAGATGCCGTCATGCTGGGCCACTGAATGAATGCAGTTGTAGGGCAATGGTATTGTGAAGGCCCAACAAGAAAAGCTGTCATGAGATGTCACTTATGGCAGAATATATCCAGTTACAAGCGTGCCTTACACCAGGAGAATGGGGCACATGGAACAGAGAGAAAGACAACTTGTTCCTTGATGAAGAACAGGCCGTGGATAGCTAGATAGACTGAAATACACCTAGTTCAAAGACGTATCTATTTTTAAATTTCTGGACAAAATAAAGTGCACGAAATTGGCTGTTAATACAAGCACAGTTGGAATTTTACTAGTGTTTTACTTTCCTATTAAATCAAGTGTTATTGAGCACAGTGTTTTTTAAATACCTTTCTCTTCCTAATCCAATTATAGTCATATACTACTGTGATTCAAGTTCACGATAAAGAAATCTTGCCTTAATAGAAGCACAAAATATCCACATACATATGTGTACTAGCATGAGCTGTGGGGTTGAACTAGATGATCTCCAGAGGTCCCTTCCAACATCAATGATGCTGTCATTCTGTGAAATGAAAACTTCTCAGGAGCCCTTTATTTGACTGAGTAGATTACCTAACGATGCATTTATTTTTAATTTATGTTTTAGGCCCACTGGAGTTCTTTGCCTAGAGAGCTCAGAACCAGGTTCTGTCTCTGAAAATGTCAAACTCAAAATTGATACAAATGGACATGGGATTTGTCCCATGCACACTATGTTGTTGCTGCATCATTCTGATATTAGAAAGAAGTGATTTGGCATTTTATCTTTGCAGAGAGTTAAATTTTCTGAATGTACAAGGGACACATTATACAGAGAAGGAGACATCAACCACTGACTACAATTCCATATTGTGGATCATTCCTGTTACGTAAACAGTTATAGCGTGGGGGTAGATTTTAATAAAGAAATCTTCACATAGCTCCATATATACAAATCCCTTTTCCAAGCAAGGAATAAGTGTTACTTTTGTCTGAAAAATAACAGCTTTTCCCAATGGCTATAGAAGGACTGGATGTGAAGGAGCTTGCTTTATCAAGTCTGGAGCTCAGTGTTATTTGCGGCTTGTGGCTACCCTTACCAAATGAGAAAAATATTTATTCAACAGACCAGAAAGCTTTCCTAGTGCAGTGATGACCATTACTATTCTGGCAACATTTTGTCACTGTGTTACTGCAATGTCATATACCCTTTGGTTTCCAGGAAGAGCTCTGGAGCCATCAATATAACAGCCCAAAGTCTTGTCTTGGGAACACGCTGAGCTCAGTGCCAGTAGCCTAGCTATAGAGCAGCACAGTGAGTAAGTTTGTGAATTTCCAGCTACATAATATTTTGTGGTATTATAAAAACAGTTGAAGCGGGGATAAAAAAAAAAAAATCAGGTGCTACCACAGTGGTTTATGTTCAGCTCTATTTAGATGTCAGGTGAAAGCAGCAGCCCTGATCCTGCAACCCTTCCTCACCTGAACCACCGAAAAAAAATCGATGTGGTTGTACGTATAAGATTTCTGGTGTGAGTACGGATGACTTGCAGAAGTGGAGGGTTGCAGGACACAGAAGAACTGTGAAGGGATTTAGTAAGGGTAGCCTGGAAGGCAGAAGCACTAGCACACTGAGCAAGTCCAGAGGTGGCCATGTGTTTCTTTCTAACAACGAAATACCTTTGACTAGTAATTTAGCTGAAGATATAAGGGACCCAGCTCTGAAGGTGACAGTGCCTGAGTCATGGCACGCCACGTCATTTAGCGTTAAAGTGTGGATCATCCCGTCCTGCTCAGAGATTTCAGTCACAAAGTTGTTGTGAAGGGGAGATCCATCGAGCCACCACTGCACGTTCTTCACGCCCGGGTGCGAGAGCTCGCAGGTGAATGTGGCTGACTCACCCACAAAGACGTCTGTGTTCTTTAAACCAGAAATTATGACTGCTGCTTCTTCTGTATAACAGAGCAAGAGAAGGTGCCAAAGGAAAACAAAAGCATAAACATACATGTCCCTTCCTGCAGAACTAGCCCAAGCAACAGTGCAAGTTGTCCAGGAGAGTTAGACTTGTAATGCTGTTCCAGGGAAAAAAAGAGCTAAAGTTTTCTTTAAAGGATTTAGAAACCACCTTCTGTCCTTCACCCGCTTGCAAGCGCAGTGTGTGTGTCTGCAAACACTCTTTCATTGGGAGGAAACTCTACTCCATGACCAGGTCATGACTGGCTCTCCTGTGTGTTGCCACCATCTGCACTGACATTGTATGAGGTGGGAGGCGGAGAGGTAGCTTAAGATTTAAATGTTTACTTACAATAAGAATATTAACAATGATAGAAGCTGTAATCAGTAATAACAAGAATTTCAGTATTTTTTATGACCACTGCTCCAAGCAAATAGTTTTTCAGCAGTACCACCAGCTGCTATGGTACACAGTACGGTCAGCACTTTGAACTACCTTAACTTATAACCATTGGTCCAACCTCAGCCTGGATGTAAATGTTTGTATCTTCACTGAAATCAGGAAAGAAATGAATGGACTTTCAGCTGTTTGCATCTGAGACAAGTTTAGCCAGTTACTGTCAAATATTTTGGAATAAGAAATCCAGGCAGCGAAGTCAGAGCATTTCTGCCACATTTCACCTTACCTTGCACATACACAGAACCTGTGGTGATCTCGTATCCAGTGCTACAGGTATAATCCCCACAGTCATCAGGCTCTACACCGTGGATGATCAGCTCAGCAATGCTGCCTTTCAGCTTCATCTCGTACTTGTCACTGGGCTGAATGACCACCCCTCCTTTTCTCCACTCAACGGGGGCGTCCGGCTTGGAGATCTCACAGTGCAAGACAGCTGTTCCCCCTTCTTCAGACTCTACGTTTTTCAGCTCTGCGTTAAACAGCACGGGTAGTACTGCGGTGGAGAAGCAACTGCATCAGTGACAGTGCTCAGAGGTGAGAAGCTTGCTTGCAACTTCTCTGGCTTGGCAGTTCCCATCTTTCTGAACCACAACTTGCCTGCTGGCAAGGCCAAGCCCAGAGCAGGACTTTGAGTTGTGCCATAGCCAGACACTCATGGGGATCAGCCACTGATACTGTGAGGGTGTCCACTGGTGCTCCATAAAGGATTGCCGTAGGTGACAGGACCTCTAAGGGGCTTCATGTGGGCATACCCACGATTTTCAGTGTAAGCAGTTAGAGGCACAACAGTACCAATCGCAGCATTTGGACATTTAATCACTGAAACCACACACTCTGAGCAGGAGCTGGTTATGGGGGCTAGATGCAGGATCTAAAAGCATGATCTTGTTGCTTTAAAATTAATAAACCTATAAAATCAGTATATAAAAGTATAAAATGAATAAAACTATAAAATCAAAAAAATGTAGCCACTAGAAAAAAGAAAGAGAGCCACAAATCTTGGGCTGCTCGTGCTCCATTTAAAATGGGCCTGTTCTAGGTATGGTGACATACTCCAGTCTCTTATTGTCAGGCAGCAGGCAAGTTTTCTAAATGCTCTTGTACATACCCTCCATCAGCAGCGGCTGCAGTTTTGCTCCCAGTTCTCACAGGGAGATCAAAATTGCAACTGCAGAAATAGAACTGGGTTTAAAAGGCACTAGATTATTCTTTGAAGAACAGATTGCGGATCAAACCCTTTCCTGCAGTTGTAATTGACAGATACGGAGCGTTAATGATGATTCAGTGATAAAACTTCCTTATCACCCCTATGGAGGACAGCGGCAGCCATAACTTCTCTGCCTTCAAGCAAGGCTTCTCCTACCTTTGACTTGGAGCGATGCAGTGGTCTGCTGATCCCCCGAGTCGCACGTATAATCACCAGCGTCCTGAGCCTCAGCATCATAGATGAAGAGCTCAACACGTGTCCCCTCTTGCCGGATCTCATACTTGTCACTTGGCTGCAGCACCGTATCTCCTTTCCTCCACTCCACGGGTGCATTGGGTTTTGTCAGCTCGCAGTGCAGCATGGCTGTGCGCCCTTCCTCCACCTCCTCATTTTTCAGCCAGTGTTTGAAAAGCACGGGCAGCGCTTGAAAGGGGGGATGGTGCAAAAGGAAAAAAACGGGCAAAACAAAAATAGTAAACGGAGGAATTTTTTATTTTTAAGGTACTGGTAATGCCATTCATGAAGTTCATGCACAATTCTGGCGGCATTTACCTAAGGAGGGCTGCCAGGGGCAGGGATGCCTAGGTCTAAGCCAGTCAGAGGAGGAGGAGGAGGAGGAGGGAGAGGAGTTAACAAGCAGGAAAAATTTCATTTCTACAGGAGCTGCATTTCTCTCCCCACATCCTAGACTTTCTTTCACAAAGAATTCCCAACTAACTCCAATAATAATTTCTGAAGCCCATGTGGTTTTTCATCCCCAAAATAAAACCACTGAACAGGGTTAAAACACTCAAAGAATACACACCTGCAGACCCGAGGCTTCGGATCATGCAGCCAGGGATCAGTTACAGAATAATTAAAGCTGAAGGGACCTCTGGAGCTCCTCTGCGGATGGAGATTCCTCTGCCACTCTGGGTCCCTGTTCTACTGCCTGACCACCCCTTCGTTGTGAAAGGCTGGGTTTTCTTCCTGATGTGACTTTCTTTTGATGCAGCTTCCACTTGTTGCCTCTCATCTGTTCACTGAGCACCCCAAAGAAAGTCTGTCTCTCTCTTTTCTGTAGACTCCCATTTGGTAGCTGCAGACAACAGTGAGGTGTGTCCCCACCCCAACCTTCTCTTCCCCAGGTTGAACAAACCCAGATACCTCTGCCTCTCCATATACTTCACATGCTACAGCCCCCTGACAAACTTGGTGGCCTCTGCTGCACTTGCTCCACTACCTCAATGTCCGTCTTGTACTGGGGAGCTCCAAAAATTGGCATGCACACCTCACACCACTGCTGAGCAAAGAAGAAATCATACCTTTAACCTCTAATCTGGCAGTGGTCTTCTCATCAGCTACGTGGCAGCTATACTCCCCTGAGTCTGCACGGTTCAAATCGTGAATGACCAGCGTGTGCACGTTCCCCTCCTGCTTGATGCTGCACTTCTGGCTGGAGCAGATCACGGACGTGCCTTTCTTCCATTCCACTGGCACATCGGGCTTGGACACCTCACAGGACAAGTGAGCTGTGCCACCCTCCTGCAGCTCCAAGCTGTGGAGAGCCTTTACAAAGGTGACCGGAGCAACTGTGGAGAAGAGGGTACCAACACTGCTGCAACCGCCTAATCCAGCATTGCCCCCAGATCGGAAGCGGGTGTCTATAGTTACATTGTGAACCAGATCAAAGAGGAACAAACAAGATAAGGTGTTAACATGGCCCATCTTTCAAAATCATTCTATAGAACTTAATGGAAAGTTTTTCAGAGTTTTTGGACAATTTTTTGAGTAAGTATGATCTAAAAAAGTCATAAATAAGAGATTAATTCAGAGCACGTTCTTGACATTCTTCAGCATTGATTCTGACCTATCTTAGCTGCTTGTTTCAGGATAAGTTGGATGGTCTTCCAAGGATGTCTGCTTCACTCCATGGACTATAGGAAAAAGGACTGAAACAACTAGCTCAGATGTACATACCTACCTGTTAAATGCCTAAATTAAGTTAGCGAAATTTCCCAAGATTTCCAGAGACCCCTCCTCCCAAATAAACCTCCCCAGAAGATAAAGCAATACTGACTGTTCTTACCAGTACCTTCTAAATCCCTCTTCCTAGGAGGTTGCTCACCTTGGACCATTAGCTGTGCTGCTGAGCTATGCTGCCCGACTTTGAAACTGATGGGCCCGCAGTCTTCTAGCGTCACCTTCCTCAGGATCAGTGTGTGACACGTCCCTTGGACTCTGATCTCATTCATTTCATTGGATTGAAGGGGAACATCCCCCAGGAACCACTGGGCATCCTGAGTTGTTTCCCGGGACAGCCTGCATTCAAACACTGCGTCTTCTCCTTCATACGAAGTTACGTCCTTCAGCGTCTCCACTATGGTTGCTGCTGGTTCTTTAGGGAAAGGTCAACAGAGTTTGAGATCTACTTTCAAGTGATGCTTCCTGGGTTAAACATTTCAATATGCTCTTTCTTGACAATATTATATTATTTGAAAGAACAACCACAAAGCACTAAGCACTAAATGCATGGAAATGTAGTTACACGGGCATGTAGTAACATGTTACGTTCTTACAGATGCATAATGTATGTATGTGCACATATAACTTATGCACATATATATGATAGTCTATAAAGTATGCATGTTATACTGTATTGTGCATATAATAAATATATAATATATATAACTTATGCACATATATGATAGTCTATAAAGTATGCATGTTATACTGTATTGTGCATATAATAAATATATAATATATATATATCTATAATGCAAGCTATGTGTTGTGAAAATATTGTCAACAGATTTTGGTGGCTGACATTAACATTAAACCACAGAATCATTGACTAAAGACCCATTTCTGATTCCCTAGAGATAACTGACCCAGTTCTTATCCCTCTAAAATCACTCTCGTCTCTGAGATCCCCATGATTCAGTTTGGGCACAGGACAATGTCTAGCTGTCAAGTTACTTAAGCATGTGCCCCTGCCATGGTACCAAGCTCTGTTCAGCTCTTCCCCAGGCGAAGCCCCACCTTTCACGAGCACAGCTGCAGTGGTTTGCCGGTCCCCTGTGTCACACATGTATTCCCCAGCATCAGCTTCACTCAGGTTGCGAATCATCAGCTCAGCCACGGACCCAGCTTGGCGCATCTTGTATTTATCACTTGGTCGCAGCACTGTCCCGGCCTTCTTCCACTGCACAGCGGCATTTGATTTTGAGATTTCACAGCTCAAAGTGATGGTGCCACCTTCTTCAGCTTGCTGGTTCTGGAGTGGTTTTGTGAAGATTACTGGCAAAGCTAAACAGAGGTAAATCGGAGGAAAAAAATTATGTTTCATTGCTGACTGTGTCACTAAGTCTTGTGTTTAGTGAAACTGTGGTGCCATTACTTTAAAAAAATTACTTTAAAACCCAAACAAGGAATGACAGAAAGTGCTGGACTTCCAGGAGCACTAAGCACTCTGCACTCCCCAAGAGTCACTGGGCACTGCACACACCGAGCACCTCTGGGAATATGTTCCTTTACACAGGAGCGGTCACGGATATGGACTATTGAGCATCTAAGTGCAGGTACCTCCAAATGGGTGCCAAAGCCATAACTCAAAAGCCTACGCCCGATGTCTAAGTTCTTGGGTATTTGGGAGGGTGCATGGAGAAACATCGTTATATAATGCCCCTCATTTGAAAACTGGACCCGGAAGAGAGATGAACTCTGGAAGTCCCTGCACTGATGTTTATCACCGATGGGTCAAGATGGAGTTTTGGTGGGTTGATTTACAACGCGCCACATGTAGAAGTTTAGTTCCCCAAGTCCCGTTCCCTAGAAGAACCTTGGTAGCTCCACAGTTACAGCTGAATTGCTATTTACAAGGGAAGGAGGTGGGTCTCTAGAAATCAGAGTGAATTCACAGGAACTGGGTGGCAGATGTGTATAAGAGGAGAGAGATCTGAAGGTGCTTGCAGATGATGTAGGAATAGATGGTGTATTCTGTGGGACAGCTGGGCAATGGCTGGGGTCAAGGCTTTTGTACAGTTGCATTTGCAGTGAAGGCATCCCATTGTGCAGCTAAGTCCTGCAGCCCTAGGCCTTTTAGGAGCCAGCAAAGGAGTAAGTAGGAGAGAGAAATAATGTCTTTGTGAAGACCTAGTCTGTCAGACTGCGTCACTGTTGATTCAGGAATCCTCATCACAAGAGAGGACCAGACTTACTGCCACAGTGTCCCTAAATCTGGGGGGATATGTAACATCTAAACTAACCTAGAGCTCCCTAAAAGTGAAGTGAAAGCTTTTTTGTCACCTCTCACTACCAAGGACACCATAGTTTGCTCATCGCCAGAATTGCAGGTGTAGTCTCCAGCATCCTTCAGCTGTAGATTGTGTATGACTAGCTCCACAGCAGACCCCATCTGCTTCACCTCATACTTGTTGCTGACTTGGAGCAAGACTGACCCTATTTTCCACCTCACTGGTGCGTGGTGTTTGGAGAGCTCAGCATGAGGGGTGACCGTAGAGCCTTCCTTGGCTTCCTGGGTTTGGAGTTTTTTTTCAAAGAGCGCTGGAGTGGCTGGGACCACACATAGAGACACAAATTAGGGAAGTGATCGTGCCCCTGTACTCGGCACTGGTGAGGCCGCACCTCGAATACTGTATTCAGTTTTGGGCCCCTCACTACAAGAAGGACGTTGAGGTGCTGGAGCGTGTCCAGAGAAGGGCAACGAGGCTGGTGAGGGGTCTGGAGAACAAGTCTGATGAGGAGCGGCTGAGGGAACTGGGGTTGTTTAGCCTGGAGAAGAGGAGGCTGAGGGGAGACCTCATCGCTCTCCACAACTACCTGAAAGGAGGTTGTAGCGAGGTGGGTGTTGGTCTCTTCTCCCAAGTAACAAGCGACAGGACAAGAGGAAATGGCCTCAAGTTGCGCCAGGGGAGGTTTAGATTGGACGTGAGGAAAAATGTCTTTACTGAAAGAGTGGTGAAACATTGGACCAGGCTGCCCAGGGAAGTGGTGGAGTCCCCATCCCTGGAGGTATTTAAAAGACGCATAGATGCGGCACTTAGGGACATGGTTTAGTGGGTGGTGGTGTTGGGTTGACGGTTGGACTCGATGATCTTAGAGGTCTTTTCCAACCTTAATGATTCTATGATTCTAAACGGACAGCCACCATCAGAGGAACTGCTTACAGTACAAAATATTCTCGTATCATTGGATCCTGAAGTTAGTGTGATAGCAGGCAGGTCCGTGCCCTTCATGGGACAGCCCTCAAGGGATATTTCAAAAGACGGCATGTCACAAGAACCTCCTGACTCCTTTTTATTTTAGCTGACCTTGTATCTCAGAAAAAGTCACATTAATATTGCATTTGTACCAGTACCAGAGTGGATTTAAAAAAAATGGACATATTGGCACATTGCACCTATTTTTAAGGTCCTAGGCACTAGAAGCTTTTAGGTGCCTTGCTCTTCAGCTGGAGTTGAGCGCCCAGGTAAGTTTGGGCACTTTGACTCTTGAGCACCATTTGCCCAGGTGGGACTACAGCTCAAAGGACTGAGGTGGTTAAAAATCAAAATGGTCTCATTGCAATTTTAGTTCCAGCCTTGTTTTTCTGAATGACCAGGAAGAGGCCCTTGGGTCTGGGATTGGGGAAGCAGTTACTAAGCTTGGGTCCCTCCATGTTCATTGCTCAAGTCGCCACAGGACTTAACATAACTTCTGAAAGCAAAAGGACTCACCTGCTTTATGCCAGCAAAGTACATCTGGAGTCAAGGATGGTAGATAACACCCTCTCACTAGGACTAGGCTAAGGAAGTGGAACAAGTTTCTCATCTTAAAAAACCCCACAAAACAACCTACCTTTAACAGTTAAAGTGGCTGTCGTTTGTTCGCTTCCATTATCACAGGTGTATTTGCCAGAGTCTTCTGGTTTTACATGATAAATCTTTAAGGTATGGCTTGTTCCCTCCTGCCTGATTTCATACTTGGAGCTCGGGGAAATCACCTGGGTGCCCTTCTTCCACTCCACCGCAACATTAGGCTGGGAGACCTCGCAGCGGAGGATGGCTGTTTCTTCTTCCTGCAGTTCTGTGCTCTGCAATTTCTCCTTAAAGACTGGAGGTGGCACTGAAATTACAAACACAAAAGCATTTCCAGTCACTTTTATCTTGTTTCCTTGCAGTGTTAAAGGTACAGCTGAACAGTTAAGTATTGGGGGTTTAAAACAAGTGAATGGATTTTGGATGAAACCCACTCACAAATATTTGTTGAAGTTACTGAAGTGCTCAATCAAACACTTTACAGATGTTTTAACTCGTTCAGATGGGATGGGGACTTTGATCAGACCAACAGTTTTAAAGAGGGAAGGAGAAGGATGTTTGAAAATTTCTTCAAAACAGTGTTTAAAGAAAGAAAGACTCCAAAGAAAAAAAGAGAGTGGAAGCAATGAAAATTACACTTCTGTCAATCCACCCACTGGAGCTACCCCAGTAATTTCTCTAGAAACCAGTTAGCTTCAGGACCCAATATTATTCTTTCAATATAAAGAATATTGGTGGTATTATTTATCACCAATAAAATGGTGATATTTCCACTTTCTGTCCATAGTGATGACAGCATATGAGACCACATCAGTACATCATGTGTGCTCTGAAGCACAAGCACCCTACTAACATGAGCTAACAAGGGGTGAATGATGGCCTTGAATTTACTATTAGCATAAGCAAAATGTTACCTGTTCTCACCAATCCTGTTCCTTTCCCGCATCACAGAGCCCTTACCTTTTACTGTGAGCTCCGCCGTCGACGTGTGGGGTCCCACTCGGAAAACGATGGTGCCAATGTCCTGCTCGGTCACCTTCCTTAATGTCAGGGTGTGAATCTTTCCTTTTTCCACTGAGATCTCATTCATTTCATTATTTTGCAGAGCAACATCCTGTAGCTTCCATTCAACGTCCCTTGCATTCTCATGAGAAACCTGGCACCGAAACGTGACATCGTCCCCCTCAAACACCTCCATGTCCTTTAGGCCACTCACAATGGTCACGTCAGGCTCTGCAAACAGTCCATCAGTAGACAAGCCGTGAAAGGGAAAACATGGATCAAATCATCGAATCATCAAATAATATAGGTTGGAGGGGACTTCTGGAGTTCATCTGGTCCGACCACTGCTCAAAGCAGGGCCAGCTCACAGCAGGTTTCTCAACACCTTGCCCAGCTGAGCTTTAAGTACCTCCAAGGATGGAGATATCACAGCGTCTCAAATCATATGTTTCAAACTCTGCCGGTTCATTACTTTCAGCGTACTTGGTAACATGGCCAATATCTTTCAGTTAGTAGTTTTATTGCTTGCCCTTTCTCAAAGATACATTGCACATTCATTTTTTAAATTACATTTGATACCGTAATTGGGTGAATAAGGTGTGAACGCCAGATGCTAAAATCAGGATTTTAAAGTTTGTTACATTTACACTTAGATACCATGAATAACATGAAAACCTGATCCCCTCTACTGTCTTTTTGCAAACAGAATTGCATATACTCCGTGCTGGCACTCCAAACTGGCTGGGGATCTGGTTGGCTCTGTGCTCTCAGCAGGACTTACTGGATTAGTGTGAGCACAGGGCATTTACGCTTCAGTTTGCTTGAGTCCTGCTTCTAGGACAGCTGGGCACCTGCAGATCTGTGCAGAGATCATACAGACAGCCTGCAACAGGCAAAAGCTGTATGAACCCTGAATCTGCTGGGGAACACCAAAGGAGGAGCAGTGCAATCTTCATCTCAGCAAACACAGTTCATATTCATACAACTGAGGTCACCATCTGCATGAAAAATGATGCAGCTGGGCATGATGTACAGAGTATCTATAATATCGAGTAGCCTGTAGAGATGCTAGCGGTGATTGTTCCACACTAGTGGTCCAACCTGAAAGCAAGCTCTGTCTGTAATGACATTAAGGCCAGATGCAGCTGCCATGTGACTGGAAGCTGGGGATGAACCATCTGTTCGCTCACATGCATATGATGTCAAGCAAATACTTCAAGCCATGAGTCAAAAATTACAGCTGCCTTATCCTCTCCTGTCCACCAAGCGAATCTTTGCTTCAGTGTATTTATTGAGCACAAGATCTTTTTATGATACCCTTCCTACGCTCTGTGTTTATCACAATAGTTGTTACTATTGTGATAAACAATTGTGACAAATTATGTTGCAAAATCTTAGCTTCCTAAAGTGAAAATCCCCTTGCCCCAATAAACGGGTCTTGCCTTTCACGGTCAGTTTTGCAGAGCTCGTCTCATCTCCAGCCTTGCAGGAATACTCTCCAGCATCGGTAGGCTCCAGGCGGTGAACACGCAGCTCGCGGAGGGTGCCGTCCTGCCACATTTCGTACTTGGAGCTTGAGTGAAGGACGACTCCATCTTTCCTCCACTCCACTTCTGCTTTGCTAATGGAAATCTCACAGCACAGCCTGGCCGTTCCTCCCACTTCCACTTCTTCATTCTTCAGCTGCTGCTTCAGCCGGGGTTTGATGGCTGCAAAGTGAAAAACAATTAATGCACGATTCATCAGCTTGAATGCCAGGTCTGGACAACTCAGCACAAGACACCTGGGGTCTGATGCTGCAGAACAAATTTGCATTAAGTGGTTATATGATAATAACAACCCTTTTTTTCCTCTATAGACAAACCTATATTCTGTATATCTGGACAAGGAGAGGATCAGAAAGTTCCCCAAATATGTTTGTTTCCCATAAAGTCAAGGGCATCTGCATTACACCTTTTACACATCTGCTCTGGATATTGGAAACTCCCACACGCATAAAGATTTTGGCTGAGCAAAGCCTGGTACTTCCTGACTAAAACTAGCATAAATCTGTTCATTTTTATAGAAATACTCATGACTTCCAACACTATAAAGGATGAAAAGCTTTAAACACATCTCTTATTTCTCTGCTATCTTTTCAAGACCCTAGACCATCAGCAGTAAGTCCTTCCAGATGATGCACAAACAAATGGACTACATTTATTCACTTGGTAGGCGAATAAATAAGCGGGGCATGGAACAGCTCAGACAACAGCTTGTCACTGGTGAAAACGAGAAGGGAATATCCACCCCGTGTGTGTGTGAGCAGTTGTGAAAACAGGAATCTCAGTGCTTGTGGTCCCTCTGTCTAAACCCTATTGTGATACATGTAAAGCAAGCACAGGGCTCTCTCACTCGTAGTTGACCCAGCGGCTGCTTCGTGGGTCAGGTTCAGCCAAGAGGCCGTGGTTTGAAAGGTTGTGGCTTAGATCAAAGCCACAAGTTGCACCCAACAGTTCGAGATGACCATTAACATTTCAGACAGTGGTTAATCACAGACATTATTCCTGGTTTGTTTAAACATAGTCTTCTCAAGATCTTCATGGAAGGGCATTACAAAAACTGAAAATAGTTTTTTTTTTTTTTTTTGTAAATGACTTATGATTACTTATTGATTCAACTGAACCAGCAATGAATGCAGTGCCAAAAATAAAGGTCTATCAGAATTTCAAAATCCCCATGATGCAGAGTTTCTTGCTTTTATCATATCAGAGAAGGGGTCAATACACTGTACACTGTGCTTTACAGGCTTAAATAGCCATTCTACAAATCCTGTCCCATAAAACCCACTTTTCTGTATTCTGGTTTATGACTGGGCCCCTGCTTTCCTCTTTATCTTAACCTTTGGAGTGCCTTATTCACCAATGAATAAAAGAATATCATTCACACAATTTTACAAGTCCCTTTTATCCTCTGTTCCATTTTGATGCAATGCTAACCATTCACTCTGAGGACTGCTGTGCTCTGCTGGTCTCCTGTATTACATGTGTAATCAGAGGCGTCTTCTGGTTCTACATTATGAATCACAAGTTCGGCTGTGCGACCACTTAATTTAATTTCGTATTTGGTGCACGGGAAGAGCTCCATGGTGCCTTTCCTCCACTCCACTGTTGCATTATCCTTTGTCAGTTCACACTGGAATTTCACTGCAGCTCCTTCTTCCACCTCCTTGTCCTTGAGCTCCTTTTTGAAAAGAACTGGCAGAGCTAAAGGGAAAAAAAAAAAAAAGAAGCAACAGGAGCTTTTATTGAAGCCTGAGTCAAGTCCTGGTTAACACAGTTAGACTGACACTTCGTGGAACAAGATACTGTGCTTTTCAAGTGCTATATTCCTAGGCAGGATCCGTGTTTTCTAATTTGCCTGGAGCTACTAGAGCTTGCTGCATCAGAAGCAGCCATCAGCACTTGTAACGTTTATTTCCTTTGTTCCTTGACTCAAATATTTCCCAGGGTTGAGTTATTTGAATGAATTTATCCTTCAGTTGATCTAACAAAGATCTCAAGAGTAAAGAAGTTCGAAACTCCATGGACAGCCCTGACAGATCAGGAAGGTTTTTGTCAGTCTTATTCCAGGATTTGGAAGAAAAATCTTTTTTTTAAATACTTAAACCACGTCATGTGAAATGTCCAGAGGTTATGTTAAAGCATTGCTCTTTCTTTAATTTCTCTCCAGCCATAAAGCTAGAAAGTATTTCTTCTTAGAACCCAAAACTCAAATGCAGCACTGGAAGAACAAAGTATCATCCTCTTCCATTCTCATTGAAAAAAAAAAAAAAAAAGAAAAAGAAATCCTAGTATATCAGATGAAAAGGAAAAAAAAATTAGGGGGAAAAAAAAATCATGTACTAAAAAATATCCATATTCAAACTGTTGCTTTGCACGTTGGATGAAATCTATTGCTTTAAGAGTCAGCTCACACCACCTACCTTTCACATTTAAAGATGCCTTGGTTTCCTGACCCCCAGTATCACAGCTGTACTGTCCTGTATCTTCTAATCTGAGATTATGTATTAAGAGCTCTACCCGGCATTCCCTCTGCCTCATTTCATACTTCTCGCTGGGCTGCAGCCCCACTCCTCCTTTCTTCCATTCCACTGCAGCATTGGGTTTCGAAAGCTCACAGCACAATGTAGCTGTACTTCCTTCCTCTGATTGCTTATTTTGAAGGGGTTGCTTAAATGTGACAGGCAGTGCTGCAAAATTTGAAAGGGAAATGTTTTAAGAGCGTTTTAGTCTGGAAAGGACCCAGTCCTACCATCGTTCTTCAGAAATGGCCTATTCTAATGATTCCACAATCTTTGGGCTGCAGCTCTCTGTCTTGGTAGCAACTTTCTTGAACCATTACGTGAACCAAGAGCTGAGGACAGATGGTGAAGTTAGGAAAGATCTGGTCTTAGGGAGTGGTCCACAGAATGGCCTGGTTTGTGATCTGAAGGAGTCAGACTTTCCTACGGAAGCGTCTTCATGCCAACTAGGGATGCTTTAGTCAAAGACCACTGGACATGCTCTCTCTTACATGGACCCTTGCTCCTTAATAAAGGTCTGCGAGTTTGCAATATTAAGTGAAGAGTTTTTTTCCCCCAAATAAAGCTTCTATCAATATACAAAAGATCAAGTTAGCATTCAACCCACAAGAAGAGGCAGTACAGTAAGAGATGACAATAAAATGATAAATGGAAGAGGAAATTCAGATTTCAGGCAAGGTCTTCCTCTGGATGGTAGAAGGGGTGGAAGAAAACAGATGTGGATGCAGTTGTTTGCACTCAAAGTTTATACTTGAGGCTCAAAGCCTCAAGTAATAGTACAGCACATTCATGTTATAGAAATCCTTTATCCCCCAATTGTTGCATCTCTTATCATCCCAGTTGGACATTATGCCCAGTTAGGCATCCCTTACGCCTGCTGAAGCAATCAACAACCCAAGATAACCATCAGCCTGCCTGGCTTATTTTCTGTTATCCATTCCCATATGCAGCCACACTCCCTGCACTCAAGGGCAGGAGGGTTCATCATATTTTGACATCATGACAACATTTAATTGCTTTGATGCTGATTAATCATTCCAGATACCGCAAGCAGAACCTCTCTGACTTGACCATGTGTCATGCTCAAGTAGAATATGTACGCTGGCACAAACCAGCAGCAAAACAAATAAATATCCACAGGGAACACTGAGAGATGCTCCTTTCACTTCATTTCTATTGAACCAAGGGTCAATACTCACCATCAGCCTGCCTGGCTTATTTCTGTTATCCATTCCCATATGCAGCCACACTCCCTGCACTCAAGGGCAGGAGGGTTCATCATATTTTGACATCATGACAACATTTAATTGCTTTGATGCTGATTAATCATTCCAGATACCGCAAGCAGAACCTCTCTGACTTGACCATGTGTCATGCTCAAGTAGAATATGTACGCTGGCACAAACCAGCAGCAAAACAAATAAATATCCACAGGGAACACTGAGAGATGCTCCTTTCACTTCATTTCTATTGAACCAAGGGTCAATACTCTGCCTACCATGTACGGTTACCACCGCTGTTGTCTGCTGATGTCCAGAGTCGCAGGTGTACTCTCCTGAATCATCCAGCTCTAAGTCATAAATGACCAATTCAGCAGTGGAGCCCTGATGCTTCATCTCATATTTCAAACCAGGGTAGAGAGTAGTATCTCCTTTCCTCCACTCTACAGGAGCATTGAGTTTGGTAAGCTCACACCTCAGTGTTGCTGTACCACCTTCTTCTGCCTCGGTGTTCTGAAGCTCTTGTTTAAAAAGTGCTGGTAGGGCTATAAAATAGAAATATGACTTGCAACATACTGCAGTTGGGGTTTGGGAAAGAGAAAGTAGAAAGAAAATGAAAGCACCAAAAGAGCTTTTTTGCAGATGTCTCTAAACCTCAATGTTCTACATTCAAAGTACAAGGCTATTTCCCCAGAGAGGGAATAGGAATATCTGCAGAACAAGAAGAAATCACGTTCAAGAAGTTACATTTGCCGTGAAGTATATACAAGCTTAATCTAATTTATGATCTAAAAATGGCGGAATATTTTTCCTGCTATAAAAGTAGCCAACATGTTGCCCTGATCACAGAGGAGATATTCTGAAGATCAGCAGGGAGCTGTAAGAGTTCAGATTCCCTCTTAAGGCAGGCCACTTGCAGGAGAGATTACAATTATCCTGACAGTACCATACTGACAAAATGCATTTAGTTCTGCATTGCAATTCCCATTTTCTACCTGGTCACTCTATTAGACTGTACAGACCGTGCTATTGTGCACACCTTCCTTATGAATCATAGCCAAATCTTCTCCGTAACTGACACTAACATACAGCTTTTATTTTCAGAATATATTATGACCTTTTCCCTTTTTTTCCCTCGGGTTTTTTTTGGTTTTTGTTTTGGTTTTTTCTGTTTGTTTTGGCAGTTGTCTGCTGATCTCCACACACGCAGGTGTAATCTCCAGTGTCGTCCACATCCAGCTCATGGATAGTCAGCTTCGCAACGGTACCATCTTGACTCATTTTGTATTTGCTGCTTGCCTGGAGCACCTCCTGCCCTTTCTTCCACTCCACCACAGCAGGTTTAGTCAGCTCACAGTGCAGAGCAGCTGTCCCACTTTCTACAGCTTCTAGGTCCTTCAGGTCTTGTTTGAATTCTGGAGGCAGTGCTGAAGAGTAAAAGATTTACCATAGAGAGAGTGAATATTTCTAAAAAAAACAGCTAGATGAGGTCCTGGGGGAGAGGATGCATGGTGCACTACTGAGCCCTGATCCAGGTCAGTGGAACACAGTGGGAGAAATCTCCCCCGTCTTCCCTGGACTCTGCATCAGGGCAAGGAAAGTGAGAAGGACCAGCACAGCTGAGGAGGACAAACACCAACAGGCAGCTCTTTTCCCAATTCTAACAGAAGGAGGAAGAACATGACCAAACTCCAAAGGAACACAAAAGCCCAAGCAAACAGAAAGGGAATGGGAACAGACCATAGCAATAGAGACACGGGCAGGTCTAAGGTTTGGAGGACCTTAGTCCCAAGGATTACTTTACCATGCACTGTTAAGGCAGCTGTGGTGGTCTTGTCTCCACACACACAGGTATAATCTCCAGTATCATTCAAGCCTAAATCGTGAACTACCAGCTCCAGAACACAGCCTTCCTGTCTCATGCTGTACTTGTTGTCCGAGGTGAGGACATGATGGCCCTTCTTCCACTGAACATGGGCAGATGCCTTGCTGAGCTCACAGTGCAAAGTTGCCGTTCCACCTTCTACTGCTTCCTTGCTGGTCATTTCTTCTTGGAAAAACGGAGGCACGGCTGAAGGATGCAGGTAAAAAGTATTACAAACTGAGGATATCTCCAGGGATGGGTGAGAGTAGGAAGTGACAGGGGAAAGTTGTGAAGGTTATGGAAGTGCGAGCATCAGCAACAAAGAGAGGACAGAGAAATGAAAACATCCTAGTGGGAATATATACCCTAAACCTTTGGTTTTATGCTGGCTTCCTACTAGCAAAATTGCACTGTCCTCAAGAGATTTACACCTGCTTTCTACCAGTTTCCATGTAAGAAGAACTAAGAATATAGTCTCTGAACCCCTTAATTCACACGTGTTGATGTCTTCCGCAGACTTCATGCCTTTGTTCTCTCTTTTCCTACTTATTGCTGAGCTCTGAGTGTTGGCACAGCTCCTTACTCATCATCATTCTTTCTTCCTTGAGGTGCCCTTGAAAAGGTGCAGCCAGGGCTCACAGATTCCTCTTGACAATCTCCAGATGCTGAATCCCAGCCTGTTTTCGTGTCTCAGAACATATTCCCCCACTTCTATTTCCTTGAAATAAATTTGGTGACCTTAACATATGTCCCTCTGTTAACTAGGTGGGATAATGGGATAGTCTACCTCCTTAACAAGGTTGGATGGCTCAGATCTCAAACTTAATGACTCACTCCATGGTGGTGGAGCTAAGTTAAAATATCCAGGCTAGAAACCAGGTCTAGCCTCCTTGATTTTGCACACTTCCCACCCCCAGCAGTGTTAACCTGAAACACCACTCTGGGTTGCACAGCAACTGGTTCTTGCAACAGAGTAAGACCAGAAGGAGGTCACAGAAAGAATTTATTCTTTCCTGCGTAGAAAAAATCAGACTCCCAATGCAAACCTATCTTTGTGCGTTAGGACAGTGGTTATGGGCACAAAACCCAATATAAACATAACTCAGCACAGAAGAAATTATAATTAACACAGCCTTATTCTGGATACTGCTTATTATACCCTATACTACATTAAAATGGTAGAGAATGCCGGAGAAGAATGGCAAAGAATAAACAGATTTGTGTTTTAGAAAAGAAACGCAGGAAGGGAAAGATGAAAGAATAGTGGGTTTATAAGCTAGGAAAGGAATGCCAGAAGGGAAAGATTAAAGGATAGCAGGTTTGTGTTTAAGGAAAGGAAAAGACAAAAGGATGGCACAGGAAAATACAGACCGGTATTTTCCAATATACACAGCCTGCAGGTCATCAAAGGCGGGGAATACCATTTCAAATGAATGGAACTTCAGTTAATAAGGTTGAACAAACAAACGTGGAAAACTGAACACCTGATAGTGGAGGACAGACGTTTCCAGTGGGGAAATAGAAGGTCAAGACAATTTTTACCCTGTACTGTTAAGACGGCTGTAGTCTGGTGCTCTCCACACACGCAGGTGTAGTCTCCTGCATCCTCCTCAGCTATTTCATGAATCACCAGCTCTGCCTTGGTCCCTTCCTGCCTCATTTTGTATTTCTCACTCGCTTTGAGAATCCTCTGTTCCTTCCGCCACTCCACCGGAGCAGCCTTGGTGAGCTCACAGTGCAGGGCGACTTCTCCACCTTCTTCTGCTTCCTTGTTCTTTAGCTCTTCCTTGAAGAGCGGTGGCAGAGCTGAGGGATGCAACATGGATAAATGGTCATCAGAAAACCAGAATCAAAATCCTAATTTCTTTTTCATGCTTGGGATTATTTCCCCTCATGCCTCCCTTTTTCAGCCTGTTATAAACATGCTTAGCTATAGCCAAGTTCAGAAACTCTGAAGGCATCCTTCTTCAAGTGTGACGTGGTTTCACATACCGTAAGAGATCAGTTCACTGCGTGTCTGTTGCTTTTCATGGTGAAAGAACAATACATAAAGATCCAGACCTTGGGTCAACAGCACTCACAAATAACACTGATGGATACAGTACTATTTTACCTACACAGGTGTGATTTCTTGCAGGCTGGTATTGTTATTTGCTGTTTTGTTTTTACTAAAAAATTATAGCCCCAACTACATGAGATCAGCCAGATTTCAAAATAAAACTACTTCTAGTTTTAAATTGAAGTTTGAAAGGCCATTACATGTAATAAGAATTTCAAGTTCTCACTATTTTCCATTTTGGAAATCAAAACCCAAAGACAGAACAACCTATAGGAAATAACCTTCAGGAAAACTAATTATTAACATTTACCCACAAATGTGCCTTGTGTACAACTACTGTAAGCAGGTACAGAATACAAACTGTACTCCCCAAATGCCTCAGAAAAAGTCCATGTCTCAGGAAAGCCTGAGGGGAGTCAGAAGTTTTTGGAAAAAAGCTGGAGGGGACAGAACTGGGTCTCTTTGACCAAGTAAATTCCTCAGAGCCAAGGACTGTTACTCCATTAAAACGGGTACTCATTAATGAGAGGAGAGCAGAACATCAGGTAGTTTTAAATTAGTTTGAAAGGCCATTACATGTAATAAGAATTTCAAGTTCTCACTATTTTCCATTTTGGAAATCAAAACCCAAAGACAGAACAACCTATAGGAAATAACCTTCAGGAAAACTAATTATTAACATTTACCCACAAATGTGCCTTGTGTACAACTACTGTAAGCAGGTACAGAATACAAACTGTACTCCCCAAATGCCTCAGAAAAAGTCCATGTCTCAGGAAAGCCTGAGGGGAGTCAGAAGTTTTTGGAAAAAAGCTGGAGGGGACAGAACTGGGTCTCTTTGACCAAGTAAATTCCTCAGAGCCAAGGACTGTTACTCCATTAAAACGGGTACTCATTAATGAGAGGAGAGCAGAACATCAGGTAATGAGATTATTAACGTAACACAAGGATTTATTTCTGGATTGGTTTATTGGGAGCTGATAGGATAAAGGAGAGTATAACTGCTGATAACCTGTGTTGTTGGGGTTGGTTTGGTTTTTTAATGCCTAACTGTCAAGGTATTCTTGATCCCCACACACAGAGGTGTAGACCCCTGCATCCTTCAAACCTACGTTAGAGGTAACAAGCTCTGGAATGGTAACTCTTAACTCATTCTGTATGTCCCACTTGCTTAAAGGATCTGGTAGCCCCAGGAGTAGCCGTGACCGGGTCACCCAGAAGAGCAACATCTCCTCCTCCTCCTGCTCCCCCAACCCTCACTTCTCCTTTGAGCAGTGCTTGGAGAGCAGAGGGCCTGACAGACCATACATGTGCGTTCTGGAGAAAACTGTGGTTGGCTGAAGCGAACCATGGGAATGAGGGGGGAAAAGAGCTGGAAAATGTAAATGTCCAAGAAGAGGGGACTTGGACAGGAAGAAACATCTCGTTTTCTCCTTTTAAAGGGGGGCAGATTAATAATTACCCAAAAATTTGCCCTGAGCTAGTCTTTCTCAGTAAGAAATGAGCTGTAGATAGAATGAAGAGAAAGGGGAAAAAAACAAAGAAACTACTGACCCAGGGCAGAAACAGCTGAATTTCAGAGTGATGTCTGTCTATAGAACTATTTATTAATTTTAATAAGGTCTTTTTACCATGAACTGTTAAGGTTGCTGTTGTCTTCTGGTCACCACAAACACACATGTAATCTCCAGCATCTTTTACTTCTAGGTCATGAATGACCAGCTCTGCAATGGTGCCAGGCTGTCTCATTTGATATTTGTCACTTGCTTTGAGCACTTTGGACCTTATTTTCCACTGCACTGGAGCTGCTTTGGTTAATTCACAACGCAGAGAGACTGATGCTCCTTCTAGGACTTCTTCATTCTTCAGTTCTTCCTTGAAAAGCACTGGCAGGGCTGGGAATGGAAAGTCAATAGATAGCGTATTTAAACTAAGACCTCTGCATTTGTGATCAGCATCATGGATTCTCAACTGAAGTTCAAATCTGGCCAAGTCAGGGACTTTAGCCATTGAGGTTGAGGTTATCACTATGAAGATCTGGAAAACTAAATCCAGCAGCGACAGTAAGAAAAGAAATGCTGAGCTGACAGGTCAAAGTACAAAAGGCTGTATGGATTCAAGATGCAACCTAAAGAATTTATCACAGGGCCACCCTCCACGGGGGCAGGACATCTCAGCTCATCTAACAGGAGCATTTCCTAGGCACTATTCCTTTAAACTTACAGCATAGCAGTTTGTCTGCATGGAGAAACAGTCATGTCCTCAGCTGCCTTTTCAGGAATATCAGCCTAAAATTAAATGTCAGAGCAAGAAGGTCTCCTTTCCTGAGCACAAATTACTTCCTAGGAAAAAGCCTAAAGCTGACAGATACTTCGTACAGCAACAGGGTGTTTCAGAGAAACAAAAAATGAGCAGTCATCTGCAAGTTTAATTTACCATTCACTGTCAGAGAAGCCGTGGTGTGTTGGTCTCCACACACACAGGTGTAATCCCCTGCATCCTGCAGCTCTAGATCATAAATTTCCAGCTCAGCAAGGGCATCATCCTGCCGCATGATGTATTTTTCACTTGCCCTGAGTATTTTGTTTCCTTTCTTCCATGACACAGCTGCAGCCTTGGTCAGCTCACAGCGCAGAGCGGCTGTTTGGCTTTCCATGGCTTGCACATCCTTCAGTTCTTCTTTGAAAAGTGCAGGCAGGGCTGAAGGTCACAAAACAGACAGAGGACGTTAAAAATGACACGTGGCACACAGGTGATGGGAGGGATCGGGTGGTAGAGAAGCTGGGAACATTTTAGGGTGGAAAGAGTTTCCTTTCCTCATAATTCTGGAATATTGGTCAAACCAACGGACAGAAACAGAGAAGCAGCCTGGATGCAACCAGATCTTAGAGACAGTTTACAAATTTAAAGAAACAAATTCAGCCATAGGTGAACACACAACCAATAGCAATGAGCTGGTAGAGAAAAACACAGTAATACAGATATATGTATATGTTTTTTACCATGCACTATCAAGGCAGCTGTTGTCTCCTGTTCTCCACACACACAAGTGTATTCTCCAGCATCTTGCAATTCTACGTCATGGATAAGCAGCTTCATGACCATGCCCTCCTGTCTCATTTTGTATTTGTCGCTGACTTTGAGCAAACTGCTTCCCTTTCTCCACTCTACTTGAGCAATCTTGGTCAGCTCACAGCTCAGGGTGGCTGCTTGACCTTCTGTTACCTCCTCATCCTTCAGGCTTTCCTTGATGCGTGCAGGCAGTGCTGAGGATGCAATGGGCAAAGGGTTAAGACGGAGCAGCAAACACAGCCTCCTGGTGAAGGGCAGGGGTGGGGAAGGAAAGGCGAGGGCATCAGTGGGGAGCTGTCTTCGGGCCTGATCTCACATCTACTTTAGGGATCAGGTCCTAAAAACCACTTTGTATTAGGAAATGGGAGGAAGGTTTATTCCCTTAAATCACAAAATGCAAATTAATTCTCATGACTATGACATGCAAAGTCAGACTCAGAGGAACTATGCAGAGATAACAATGAACATGGAGAAAAAAATGAATTCAAACCATAAGCTTGATAATAAGGACATCTAGATGAAATCGGTTATTACCATGTACTGCTAAGGAAGCTGTGGACTGCTTATCCCCACACACACAGGTATAATCACCAGCATCATTCTCATTTAGATTATGGATCACCAGTTCTGCAGTGACATCCTTCTGCCTCATTTTGTATTTCTCGCTAGGTTTGAGTACTGTGTGTCCTTTTTTCCACTCCACCGAAGCGGTCTTGGTCAGCTCACAGCGCAGAGTGACTACTTCACCCTCCGTGGCTTCCTCATTTCTTAACTCTTCTTTGAAGAGAGCAGGAAGGGCTGAGAAACAAAGGAGCAAACATTTTCATGACAGGCAGTTCTTGGCCACCAAAAAAAAATGAACCTTGATGTTTACCAGTATCTATCCACGCCTAGTTATTGACATGAGGATCATCTCACGGAAGGAAGATACTCATTTGTATCATAGCCACAAAAGGGCCTCAAACAGTGGGTAAATTTGCTGATTCGGTTAGAGATGTATGGAAAATAAACAGCAGAAATGTAAAAACTTCATGTTAGGTCAAAACTATAACTTTCTCGGTGTAATTCAGCCCAGGAAAAAGTGATATAGCAGGTTACACCATGATCAGGAAAAACAGCTAAAGAAAAAAAGAGAAAAGGCTTTACCTTACGTGTTAAGGATGCCTACAGACCTAGCCTGAGAGTTAGAGTGAGGCTGAAGAGCAGAACTGGAGAGACCTCTTGAAAGTACTTGGGTAACAATAAAAAGGAAAAAGAAGGACGATGTCTCCATTGTGGAAATCTGCTATAAGACCTTCACACCAGGAGGTTCAGGTGCATCCTAACACCCCATCCCTTTTGGAACAACTAATAGAATCATTCAGAGCGTCAGACTGGATGGTAATGTAGTGATATGTACTGTGGGAGCAATAGGATGGGACAATGTCTGCTAAGGCTTTGGAATGGGGTGGGGACCACTTTTGGATATAGAATATATATGAAAGAACAGGAGAGGAGGATCTCCAAGTCCTGACTCTGCCCAGCAAGAAATAAATATTTGAGAATACAGACGGGGAGGATAACTGGGCAGACACCAATTATGAAGCAGGAGAGGTCATGGATTTTAGGACAAGTAATGATGGAGAAGAGCAAAAAGAAATTCTGTGAGCGACAAGAAAGCGAGCTTCAATAATTCAGTAATTGTTACTTATGACCAAGCAGAAGCAAACTTAAAGGACAAGGTAGTTTAAGAGAGTGGAAAACTTCTTGAAGAAAGAATATGAAGGGCATGATTACACAGACTACCCCACTCCAAGGACCATCAGGAAGAGCCTGCCTAAATCATGAATCCTTCAATGTCCTGAAACTCGGGAGACCTATAAAATATGGGAGGCTTAGATGAGTGCAAAAGAAATACTACAGAATGTAGAGGAAAACCCAGAAAGGACAGTTTCCTGGCATGTCTCAAGAAGGTCAAGGTCAGTTCCCCATTCCTGGACTCTGTCACCTCGCGGACAAAGAGACCAACATGAAAGAGGGCCTGAAAGGCAATCTGCAAAATGATGCTGATATCAAATATCTCCAGACACAGCTGAATGCTCTATGTAGTTGTATCCAGCGACTGGGTGGTGAGATCACTACTCCAGGAGCTTTCCATGTCCTCTGCTCACAGTTCAACTTGTGGCTCTTGGCTGTATCAGAATATTAGCATGCAAATCCCAGGAAACCTGGCCAGCCTGAACTAGAAAGAAGCAGAAAAAAATACAATGACATTCTGTAGGTAGGTTAAAAGGAAGAAAAACAACAAGGGAGAAGTTGGTCTACTAACTTTTAGGAATGTAAGTTGATGGTAGGTAAGACAGGGAAAGCTGAAGTGTTTAATTTCTTTTTTTTCTTTAATATTAAAAATTAATGATAGCTAAGAAAGTTATAGGAATTCTGGCTAGGACAAGAAAAAAACAGATTAGAGAACATTTAAATAAACTGAATATTCTCAAAGCACCTTGGTGTGATGAAATTTGTCCCGGAATATTTAACGTACAGGCTTAAATCAATATTAGAAATTAACAGTTACACTGGAGAAATCAAAGAGAATGGGTGATGTTCCACAAGTATTGAAAAACTGGAAACTCAGAGGTGGAAAAGGTCTCACAAATTGAAACGCACACATTTAGCTCTCACCGTGTAAACCAAGAGTCTAAGCTCCCAGGACAGTCAAAAAAGATCCAGACAAAGTCAGCGGAGCCAGTGGAGCTGCATGCTGACCAAATGTAAATGCCTGCTGTATGGTGAACTGGATGCCTCCCTGGCTTCCATTGACTGTGTTGATTAGATCTCCGTTGACAATAATAGGAATTTAGGAACACTCACCTGTCTTGATCTACAAGCTGAATCCCACCCACAGTGTCTGTGTCTTGGAAAAAAGGGAGGAGAAGAGGGAGGCAGAGAGAGGATCCAAGGAACTACGGCCATTTCAGCTTAACTTCAATTCTTTGAAAAACATTGTAGCAATACCCTTGGACTTGCCAGGAGCTTTTCTTTTCGCGAAGGAGTGGACCAGTGTCATATTTGTTGACATAGGTTAATGAACTTCAGTGAGAGAGACGCAGTATATGCCGTACACCCTGATTTTTAGTAAAGCTCTTACTTTAACTACAGTAGGAAGCACTACCAGTTTGAAAACCACAGTCAAAGAATACTCAACTGTGATTTACACTCACAATGAAAGAATGAGCTGAGCAGAGTTCCTCAGTACTCTGGAGTCCAGTATTATTCAGCATTTTCTTTAGTGGCTTGGACTATGAAACACAGAGTAGTCATTAACTTTGCAGATGATCTCAAGCTGGGACGGGAGAGAAGCTGAAAAGCACTTTGTTAAACAGGATTAGGGTATAGAAGATCTTGATGAAGCAGTGGTGAAAAAAATAGGCTGCGATTCAGCAAGAGCAGGTGCAAAATACTATATTTAGGAACAATCAACAACACAAATACAAGATGGGGAGCAATAGGCAGCAGATCTGCAGAGAGATATTTGGGGTTACCGTGGATCACGGAGCAAAGGCAAGTCAAAAAATGCAATTCTGATGTGAGTAAAGCAAACATCATAATAGGGATATATAAAATGGAGTGTCATATGCCAGACACATGAAGTCCTTCCATGCTACTCCAGTCTGGCAAAGCCTCAGATGGAGCGCTGTAGTCTGCCTTTGGCCACCACACTTCTAGAAAGATGTGGGTTAACTGAAGATGGTCCAGAAAGCAACAAAGATGAGCTGAAGTCTAGAAAACATGACCTATGAAGAAAGAGTGAAAGCATTGAAAGTACTTAGTCCGGAAAAGAGAAGACAGAAAGGAGACATGCTATAAGTTTTCAAATCTTTCACAGAGAGGAAAATAGCAAATATTTCTCCATTTCTACAGGATATGGGACAAGAAGTAATGACTTAAGCCAGCTCGAGAAAGACTTTTGTTGAAATTAGGAAGAACTTTCTGGCAGTATTGATGGCTAGGCAGTGGAATGAGTGTCCAGGGGAACTGCAAATTCTTCAGCACTGGAGTGAGGCTGGGTAGGTGTGATGGTGACGTGGGGGTCAAGGATGGGCTAGACGACCCGTAGAAGTCTTTTCCAATTCTGTTTTCCATGGTTAAATTGTTAGGTCAAGACTGAAGCCATCCTTGTTTTATTGGTAAATACCAAGATGAAAAAGTCTGGGCAGTAAAAAGAAATCAACTCATTGACCTACTGAATTTCCAGGTGAGAAAGATGGCTGAAACTACTTCCTACTGTCCTATGTTAATAGTGGAAATAAAGTTTCCCTCTCTTCCAAGGAAAGTTTGCTGATGAATTTGACTGAGGACTGTGAAGTACTCTCCCACTATAATGCTGAGTATTCTGCAATACCAGAATACAAATCTACATGATCTTTGGTCAGAGTTACATAGAAAAGTTGCGCTGAATCAAGTTTTGTTTGCATTATTTAAAATTGTCTGTCAAATCCTAATGTAACTTGAAATCTAAGATCGCTCTTTTTAAGAAGTATGAATGTTCCTGCTGCTCCATCTCTCTAGGCTTAAGTCAAAAGTACGTAAAACAGAACAAAAGACACAAGCATGTGGCATCTTTTGGCCTTCAGTGTGGTACAAAGCAGTATAGCTGTGCACCAACAAGAGCAAGGAGAAGAACACAGGGAAAATATTAGTATAATCAATGGAACTACAGTTCTAGTTAGAATTAGATAAAAATCACAATAAAACCAAGAATATCCGTTACCAACAGAATTAATGATGGCAAGATTAGAGAAAGAACTCATTGCGTGTCAGTACTGAGGCTTCCAGAGGAAACGGGAGAAACATCACACAAAAAATTCTCATTTCTGTTTTCTTTACCATGCACTGTCAGTGCCGCAGTAGTCTTCTCATCTCCACACACACAGGTGTACTCCCCAGCATCCTTGACTTCTAAAGCATGGATCAGCAGTTGTGCTGTAGTACCTTCCTGTCTCATAGTATATTTTTCACTCAATTTCAGCACTTTGTGTTTCTTTTTCCACTCCACAGAGGCAGCCCTAGATAGCTCACATTGTAGCGTGGCTGTTCCACCTTCTGTGGCTTCTTCATTCTTCATCTCTTTCTTGAAGTGTGCAGGCAAGGCTGAGGAGTTCAAAAGGAGCAGAATGTATGACCATGGCAGCTATCTAAGTAACTATTTATCTGTGATCTGCCAACCACACGTGACAATCAAAGCCTTCCCTAATCAAATAGGATTGATAACCACTCTGGGAAACATGTGATGGTGACCTTGGAAAGCTGGAGAACACCTTGTTCATAAGTCAGACCTTTTTTTATAGTATGGTCTATGGCGTGAAAAGGAGAGCCACACCAGTCTCAACTTCAAACTCAGCAAGACCGAGCCCTACCTTACTTTGGGTATTGCCTGGCACAATGGAAAATAAAGCCTAACTAGAGCGTCTAAGTTCTATTGCAATGCAAATCGTTACTGAAAAAGTTCATAAATGAAACTATATCTGAGGCATCAATCTCACTTTTCCATGAGATTTCTCCTCAGAGTGGAGTTCTGCTAGTGGTCTAGCAGAACTTGACTGTCAAATTATTCTGACACACTGAAAACTATCAAAAATACCTCATCACCAAACTGTAATATTCTCAACTTTAGTATTGTAACATCTTTACAGCCAACATCACAAGGATATGATTTTCCATTTTTAGCAACTACTACTGAATGCGAACATCAAAGGAAGGACTTAGTACCGTGATGAATATCTGAAATTTTTGCAACGAACACCTGATCTTTGCCTGATACTGACCAGTGCATCCCCATGTTTATGCCCGTGTCCAGCCACATGTTGCTAAATTCATCAGAAACGGGGCTGCAATTTCAAAGCTGATACTAGCATGCTCTTAAAAAACCAGCTGGTTGAAAATAATCCACTTAATTTGATAATTTTTTTCTTTTTTACCATTCACTGTTAGCGCAGCAGTGGTTTTCTGATCTCCATAACAGCATGTGTAGTCTCCCGCATCCGTCAGATCTAAATCACGGATCACCAGCTCAGCAGTTGTGCCCTCGCAGCTCATGGTGAACTTGTCATTTGGCTCCAGGGCTCTGTCTCCTTTCCTCCATTCCACGGCAGCTGCTGGCTTGTTCAGCTCGCAGCAGAAAGTGGCCGTGCCATTTTCTGTGGCTTCCACGTTCTTCAACTCTTTTTTAAAATGCAGAGGAAGGGCTGAAGATCACAGGTGAAGAGAGAGAGCACTTTAAAATTGAGGAAATACTGCATTTCGACTGCTCCACTGGATTAAAACCCTTTAATCTCTAAAGGTTTTAGAATATACAGTACCCGAGAAGCAAATGGTGGTTTCAGGGGCATCCCTGCCTTATGCTTTGCAATACACCACATTCAGCATGGCACAACTGAATTGGAAATCAGTGTTGTAAAACTATAATTTCAGCACTGGAAGGTACGCTTTAAAGGCATTTTAAGATATAACGATAGAAAGCTGATTCCAAGCTTTCAAGGAACTATGCACAGCTCCGTCTTAAGATCGGATGAACAATTACAATGAACACTGTGTTATTTAAAGTTCCAGGCTGCAACGTATCATTCTCACCTGCCTTTCTCAGTTGTTATCATAACAGAGCACCTTTCTATTCCATTCAGGTAAAATAAGTGAAATCTCAGTGATATGCCTAGAGAAATTAATTAATGGAAATACTGCAAGTGCTATTTATGACTTCACCGAGGTCTTCGTTATCTGCTTCCAGATTCCATTAACATGGAAGAAAAGGGACAGAAAAGACTGCATGGTGCTATTTATCAGTCCCAAGCGAAGGACTTTCAGTAAAAGCTATTCCCAGGGGTTGATACAGCTGTCACAAAAATTTAAAATAATAGATGGGATCAAGAACAGTTTGTGATCCTGTGTAAGATCACAGATGACAAAGCAGAAAATCCCTATTAAACTTATGTATTTTACCATGCACTGTCAGGGATGCAGTAGTCATCTTGTCTCCGCACACGCATGTGTAATCTCCCGCATCTTGCTCCTCCAGGCTATGGACTGTCAGCTCAGCAATGGTATCCTTCAGTCTCATTTTGTACTTCTCACTAGGCTTCAGCACCTTTTGCCCTTTTCTCCACTCCACCGGAGTGGGTTTAGTTAGCTCACACTGCAGAACAGCTGTGCCGTTTTCTGTGGCTTCCATACTGACAAGTTCTTTTTTGAACAGTGCAGGCAAAGCTATGGGACGTAATATAAACAGAGAGTACGTCAAAACCACCAACCAGACCTTGAGGAACTTAGGACTAGGTCCTGAGGCCAGTCCTTCACTGTTACAGGAAAACAAATCACATAGTCTTGAAAACTGCATCTATTAGAACACTACTGCAGGATCTCACAGGGATAATTGCCACCATGACCTGCTTCTAACGTTGACTTATGCAGCCTGCTCATCATTTCCCAGCTGATTCCAGTAGTCCTCTCTACCTATTTCAGTCTGAAATCATCAAATCTTGAACACTAATGACCTGACTTCTGATTGAAAGTCATCGCCCTGGATGGTGGCACTGCTGGCTGGAGATCTCTACCTTTTCTGACACCATAATTTATCTTTCTGGTTCTGAAAAGAATTCGTAATATAACTTCAGGTGCACCTCTAGGCCATAATTTCCAAGGACATAATGGCTCTAACAGCAGGAATACAGGCTTTTTTTAGCAACATTCAGCAAGTTGCTTTGTGGTGTGCTACCAAAGTAAAAAGGAAGCGACTTGCACAGGGAAGAAAGTGCCAGCTCAGAGGAGGAGAGGAACAGAAGTACCGCCAGCTGGGAGAAAGAAGAGGAAGTAAAAGCATGCAGAAAATCTGAGAGAAGAGAGTTTTGCCTCCACAGTCTTGCCCCTGTCCTTAGAAGCATCTTATTCTTAAGATCTAACTCAAATAAAAACTATTCTTTCATCTGCTGGAGGGGCAATCAAAGCTTGTCACTATTCACCATGGCAGAGACAGGAACAAAATCTGTCTCACCATTCCCTAAATCAGGACCTGCAGAATAATGGTTTGGGGTTTTTTTTGAAAGTACTATTTCCTCGGCAGAATATATCACAGTCCCACAAAGAAGGAGGACACAGTCATTCATTCCTGAATGGGAAAACCTCTCGCTAACCGAGCTCAGCGTTTTTAAAGATCATTCCTTCAAGTTAAGCACCGAAAACCACCGACGTCAGTGAGACGCAAGGACAAACCCTCTGAGAACAAGCTTGCTGCTAGAGGTCTGCTCACTTTTGGCCTTACATACAGGTGCCTTTTTCACTTTTAAAAAGTGAAGACTAAGATGAGAAATTCGCACAAGTCTTCTTTACTTTGCTATAAAGCCACCAGTTTCAAACTGCCAGACAGTGGGAGATGGGATGAAACACAGCCAGCAAAGCAAGAAAATGCTGCAGAATCAAAACATCAAAGCAAGTGGGAAAGAAACCTCTGAGAGAAAAGGGATCTCCCTGAGGTACTGCTATCATAATGGAGAACGGCTTTTTTACCATGGACTGTCAAGACAGCTGAGGTCTTCTGATCTCCACACACACAGGTATATTCTCCTGTATCTTCTACCTCCAGATCTCGGATCAACAGCTCTGCAGCGGTATCTTCTTGTCTCATCCTATACTTATCACTCGGTTTGAGTGTCTTGTCCCCTTTCTTCCACTCCACTGGGACACCGACCTTGCTCAGCTCGCAGTGCAAAGTGGCTGTTGCACCATCTGTGGCTTCTCTGTTCTTCAATCCTTCTTTGAAAAACGCAGGCAAAGCTGAAGGACAGCAATACGAGCAGTGAGATGTAACGCCCCGAAGAGTTGAAATTAACTATCGATGTTTAATTTTCTTTTTCTCCTCTTATCTTGAACTGATTTATCAGTACAAGAACATAGATTGTCAATAGTGTTCATGAATCAGTATGAGGAAAAAACGTCATCACCAGGAAAGGATACAATGCTTGCAGTATTCCATAGAGATATTTTACATATACTCAGAGTCACAAATCAATACAGACAAAAGAAAAAAAAACAATTTTTTCCTGGGAAATTTCAAGCGAAAAGAATAAATACTAATTTGAAATTTCTGAAGAAAAAAATTGGTTTTCTTATGTGACTTTTTAAACCGTAATGGGAAGATGTTTGGTATGTTTTCACATACTTAAGCAAAAGAGAAGATATTGTCCATTAAAAAAATGAAACACTGGAGTTTCATTCTAAATGTCAGTTTGAAATGAAATTGTTCATTTCGATACATGGTGGGAAAACAAGCATTTTCACCTGAACTGACGTATCCTTTCAAACACGTCAGTTGCAGTAAAAATCAAAGTTCTCCCTGGGAACGGTCATCCCTTAGAAGGTTTGGGCTTGCTTTACCTAGGAGAGTAACTGAATGCAATGACAACTGGCCCGTACGTGTAAAAGCACCTTGTTGTCCCAGGAATGGAGTATGGGAATAAGTTTCCACAAGGTTTCTATGAAACCTTAAAATCCCTAAGTCATAGTCCCTTTGAGGCAACCCATTTTATTGGGCTTGAGCATAACGGGGAGTTTAATAAAGGAACTTTCAAGGGGAAAAGCAAAATGATGGACCCTAATTAAAACAGTAGCGGCAATCCGGGTTGCCTATGTGTTTCTCCGAGCTTGCACAGTGGTGCCCGGTTTGTGCCACGCACCCCGGCCGCACTGATGCCGATGGGAGCACTTCATTGGCATCAGTGAGCTGTGAATAAGGGTCTGGCAGAAGGAAGGAGATGGTAGGGTAACCAGGTGCCTCTCCAAATGAAGAGAGAAAACAGGATAGTTACTTTTAGTATGTGTTTTGTTTTGTTTGTTTTACCATGCACTGTTAAAACTGCCATAGTCTGCCGGTCTCCGCACACACAGGAGTAATTTCCAGCATCCGTCGTGTCTAGATTTTGGATTATAAGCTCAGCAACGACACCTTCATGTTTCATTTTATACTTGTCACTTGCTTTGAGGGTTTTGAAGCCCTTCTTCCACTCCACATTAGCAGCAGCCTTGTTCAGCTCACAGTGCAGAGAGACACTTTTACCCTCTGTGGCTTCTTCATCTGTCAGTTCTTTGGTGAAAAGAGCAGGCAGGACTGCAGAGTAAATGCAATACGGACACAGCATCAAAGCTGAGAAAGCCTGACCCATGAGCTACTCACTCTCTCTTCTTATCTCCCTGAAGCTGCATGTCACTGAAGCCATAAGACCTTCTTCACACCCCAGGATTTTGTTCCAGTTTCTAACATTTCAAAAGAGATGCCAGTCTGATTTTTAATTTTTTTGCCCTCACACTTTAAAACTTGCTTTAAAAGCAAGTCTGTCTATCTGCAAACTTAGTTGACAAACCATCTATCCTTTACTTTATACACCATAAAACCAAAGGGGTAAAATTAGAGGCCATATTTCAATATGAAACCCAAAGCATTTTGTTCCCTTTGAGAAAAAGAGCAGTTCTACAGAAATGCCTGATTCACGGCACTGTCTGTATTTTTATAAATAGAGCCCCTTAAAACAGAGCAGTTACAAACATGCTGCCAGCTTTCTGCAGAGGTAAAGTATATGCTTTGGAAGAGTTAAGCCAAAATTGGTAAAAAAGGGCTGGGAATAGCAGGAGAATAAAAAGGCAATTTTTCATTAAGATAGTCCTTGCGTAGCATCATACATTGATGAAAACTTGTTCCTCTGAGGAGCAACAAGTGTAACAGTCTAAGTTACAAAAAGCAAATGCTATTCTCACTTTTAGGTCAATCCCTATGGGAAAACTTTTAAACAAGCAGCTCTACTGGACTAGAGAGATTGTGTTGAGCTGGGGACCTGTACTCCACTTGTCATTTGAACATAGCACCTGGGAAAACAAGCAGCACGTCAAGAGGGCATCAGGTGAAAGGAGAGAGAGAAGGAAAACAGGATAGAAAAGTTAAATCAGCAGCAGGGAGGATAGAAAGTATACAGAGACCAGAAGAAACAGGAGAAAAAGAAGAAGAGAGTTTGGAATTTTACAGGTTTACTTGGGGCACGTGCTGAGAATTTCTTTTTACCATTTACTGTCAAAGCAGCTGTAGTCTGTTGATCTCCACACACACAGCTGTAGTCGCCAGCGTCTGCCAAATCCAAATCCCGGATCATCAGCTCCGCAAAGGGACCTTCCTGCTCTATTTTGTATTTTTCACTTGGCTTGAGGACCACATTCCCCTTTCTCCACTCGACCGGGGCCGATTTGCTCAGTTTACAGTGCAAAGTGACCGCCTCCCCCTCCGTAGCTTCCTTGTTCAACATTTCTTCTTGGAAGAGGATAGGCAAGGCTGAAGGATGCAATACCAACAGAGAAGGAATCAGCACTAGAACCAAATGAACCGGACTCTGCTGTGAGTTACTGGGCTGCAGTGCATACATCTAACCAAAAATGCACTACTGGGAGGTGGATACAGTTGAAAGGGGGTGGGTGGGTGTAAAACCTCCTAGAGTAGAGAGAAATAAATTAGAGAAAACAATATACAACGTAGCTGTGCTGTCTCAAAGCAAAAAAAAAACCAAAACAAAACACAAGGGAATAGCTGTGCCGTCTCAAAGCAAAAAAAAAAACCAAAACAAAACACAAGGGAATATTCCCTAATAGGGTGACTCTGGCACCACAGAGCCGAGAACGTGAAACCTGTTAGAAATCACACTGACCAAACTTCGGATGACCAGCAAATGCTGTCAAACACATTAAGTTTGGGGCTTAATGAGCAAAACGGGTAGAACGGTTACCATTCACTCTCAAGGCAGCTGTTGTCTTCTGGTCTCCACACACGCAGGTATAGCTCCCAGCATCCATCAAGTCTAGGTCTTGGATAACCAGCTCAACAAAACGCCCTTCCCGTCTCATTTTGTATTTGCCGTTTGGCATCAGCACCTTCCCATCCTTCCTCCACTCGACCGAGCCCACCGCCTGGCTCAGCTCGCACTGCAGCGTGGCCGTCCCGCTCTCGGTGGCTTCCTCGTTCTTCAGCTCTTTTTTGAAACGGACTGGCAGGGCTGGGAGATGCAGAATGAAAAGGGATTGCAACCCAAGACCCTGCCCAGATCTCTGGTCAGAGGCTGAATCGTGATTTATCGTATGACTACCTAAGCCTTATTCCAACACCTTTACCCTTAAACGCATCCTGCCTTTTTTTTGTGGATGGCAAAAAAAATTCTCTAGTAGATTGTTCTCTGGGAATCAAAGTATGCGTGATCTTGACTGGGATCATGCATAGAAATGAAAAACTCATCCTCATCATTAAAGGTGATGAACCGTCCTTAACAGAAAATCCCAAGGAATCTTATGTTTCCATACTAACTCAGGAAAACATACGTGCATGTCAGCACCCTTCACTTGAGGAAAGGTAAGAAGACAACACAACACACACACATGTCCAACACTGGGCACAATGAAAGCTGATCGTGGATGGAGACTGGGGAAAGGAGTGACATGGCAACATGGAAAAGCGGAAGGATGAAAAAAGTAGAAGCAGGACATGAAGGTAGGTGTTGTGAGGGAATGTACAGAGAGGAGGAGGGAAGAGATGGACAAAAACGTTCCAGAGATTCACGGGTTATTTCTGACTTTTTACCATTCACTGACAAGGCTGCTGTGCTTTTTTGGTTCCCCACCACACATGTATAGTCTCCAGCATCCTTTGGGTCCAGATCGTGGATCAGCAGCTCAGCCACCGTGCCCTCCTGTCTCATCCTGTACTTGTTACTCGGCCGGAGAAGAGCGTGCCCCTTCCTCCACTCCACGGGGGCCTCTCTGCTCAGCTGGCATCGCAGGGTGGCGGTCCCACCTTCCACAGCTTCCACGCTCTTCAGCTCTTCTTTGATGAGCACAGAGATGGCTGAGGAATGAAGCGTCCTCATTTTACTTTAGGAGCATCATTACCAACTGGCGACCTCATATGGGACTTAAAGACAAAACAAATTCTCTCGGCACAGCTAATAAGCTCCGACCTACCTGCACGTCCAGGACTCTACTTCACTTTGCAATAGCACACCATGGGTTTGGGAGGAGATAAAACCAAAACAATTATTTCCCAATAATTAGAATATCGAATTACCCTTCTGCTGCCCAAATGCTCTTGGTCACAGACGCGTGAAAAAACTTGCTAAGAAAGTGCAGAAAAGAATTGCATATTCTTCAACAAAGCGTGTAGCTGAGGCCTTTCTTACCTCCTGGCTTAGAGCTCAGACAAGCGCCTCTATCCAGAGCAGAAAGCAGAACAGTTATTTCAGAGGCAAGGAAAGATATCTTGTTATCAAGTATATTTGATTGCTATGTTTTAGCATTAAGTTATTGTCCTAGAAAATAGAGAACATAATGGACCCAGACAGAGCTGCCTTTTGTTTGTACTGAACCCTTTTTATCTTAATGCTCATTATAAATGTGCAGGAACTAGCAGGACCATGGCAAGAACAACAACAAATGGTCACAAGCAGGTGTCTTATTCCTACCATGGATTTTGACTTGGGCTGTGGTCTGCTGGTCTCCAGTGTCACAGATGTATCTTCCCGCATCTTCTGGCTCTGCATTATGAATCACCAGCTCTGCCACTGTCCCCTTCTGCTTCATTTCATATTTGGCACTTGCCTGGAGCGTGGCTTCTCCCTTCTTCCACACCACGGTGGCATCAGCTTTTGTGAGTTCGCAGCGCAAGGAGACAGATTTCCCCTCTTCCATTTCCGTGTTCTCCAGGGCTTGTTTGAAAAGGACAGGCACAGCTAGAACACAGAACCAGGGATTAGGACATGCCCTCTTGACCTGCTGTACAAGTGCTCCATAATGGCTGTCACCCCTTAAAACTAGTCCTTTTCCAAATGAGAAGAGCCACCCTAGACCCCCCCCCTTGGCTATGTGACATCAAAGTGATCCTGCTTGGGAGCAGGAAGAAATCTCTCCCCCAGATGTTATCATCTCGCGGGGGATTCCTAGAGGTATGGGGGAAGTTTCTCTCATCTTTAATAAGGACCCTTTCAGAGTCCTCTGAGCACCCATACCTAACAAATTCCCTGCTGCTGCAGGGCTCTGTGACGGTGTTCGTGCCCTATCTCTCTCCTGCTTTCTGCTCCAGCACATACTACTTCTGCTGTACTACTAAAGGCACTGTATTTGTTTAATGGCATTGGGGAGTGCAGGTGGCATCTGAGAGCCTTTAAAAAAGGATGCTTTGTGGAATTTGGGGGTTTAAACATTATTCAGGGGCTGGACTCGAATTACGTTTTCATGTTCTTGCGCTGCCCTGCTCCTGGTCTCCAACTCTAACTCCAACCTTAATCACAGCCATGTAAAAAAGCAGATAGGTCAGGAACTACGGCACGTAGGGTATAGAAAATGAACCCTTTGCACTGACTTATTTTCTGTTCAGTGGGAAGTTACAGATTTGAAATCCCAGATGCATAACATGAGATTACATGTATGAAATATATACAGGTACTTACACGTATGCAATATTACCGTTAAATTTTACATATGAATCTGTAGATGGCACTGCCACAAAGTGCTGTCTTGCTTGGTTTTTTTAATAGAAGATTTATTAAGCAATGCATTAAGAAAGTGTGGCAACATATCTAACTCTGCCTACCGTTTACTTTCACCCGAGCAGTGGTCTTCAGTTCCCCAGTGCTGCAGGTATATTCCCCAGAGTCTATTGATTTGACATCTCGAATAATGAGCTCCGCCACAGTACCACGCTGCTTAAATTCATACTTCTCGCTGGCATAGAGAACAGTGTCTCCTTTCATCCATTTCACCGGGGTATCAGGTTTGCTGAGCTCACAGGTCAGCTTGACTTGTTTTCCTTCTTTAGCTTCTTCATTTTGGAGCTCTTGCTTGAAAAGAACTGCTATTTCTGAAAAAGAACATTGCAGATGCTTAAGGGAACACACGAGATTGGAAATCACTTTTTCCTTTTTGTTTCAGACTTTTCTATTCAGATAAAAAAACCACAGGAACGGAAAAACACTGGCAAACAGTAAACAGATTCTTACGGCTCACATCTGGCTGCCAGCACTCTAGAGCAGCAAAAAAAATATTTGAGACCATATGCTTTTTTTCCTTTTAACCACTACCTGCACTATTGAAAACATTGCGGCTATTACTGCTGTCATTATTAACATTAATAGCAGGGCAGCATCTGCCACTAATGACACAAACAGCGTGTTGCAGTGTTGTAGACGGGTGGTCAGAGCTGTACCACTGGCACAAAAATGGTAAAACTTTATTGAGGTCAACTCGCACATAACACAGAGGACACAAAGAAATGGCAAAGCGCTTTCTGTTATTACCAGCAGTATTGATTTCTCACTATAAAAAAACCCCCACAACATATTTTTATCAGACATGAATAGACTTAAAAACAGCACAGAGCATACACGGAGAGGAAAGCACAGCTGCATATGAAAGGGTCCCCGTGGAGATTCCTATGCAGGTTCTATCACAGCCTGGGATTCAAGGCGATTCAAGGTGAACTAGTGTAGAGAAGGCACTTATTGGGAAAAAAAAAACCTCAACTGCAGTGTTTTCCCTTCAGGTCACAAAAAAAAAAACCCAAACCAATTTCTTCCTAGCTTCTGCTGTCTTATGAATATGCAAGTCAGCTACTGATCCGTGATGCAGTTGTCCTATGGCTGTTGAAAAACTGCAGCCTATTCTTCTGTTCCCATTTTACCTCTAGTTTGGGACACTCAGTGTCACATGGCTACTGGTATTTCCCCCCCCCCGCCCCC